GGGGGGGGGGGGGCGTGGTGAATATTTTCCCGAAACGTTTGTTCGCCGCATCACCAGAACAACCTAACTAAACTACAGTGTATTTATTGTATTTTTATGATTGCTGATAAAAACAATAAATATTTGCGTAAAAATCATGCGTTAACAAATCTTTCACAATTAAAGTACAGTTGCAGAAAGTTGTGCCTCATTAGCTCAGGGGTTGAGCAGAATTCTCGTAAACTGAAGGTCGGGAGTTCGAATCTCTCATCAGGCTCTGTCACTTTCTTTGTATTCAGTAGTGAAATGAAGTTCGAAAATGGATCGGACCTTTGAAATGCTAGCACAATACGCTCTGCCAACTGAGCTACGCGCGGTCAGGTCGGTTCGAGTATGTGATGTTTCAGAACTGAGTCTAGTTCCATCGATAGCAATGCAATCTAATAATCATGATTTGCTGTGTTGGTGTTCTGTACTAAGGTGAATATGATGTTGTCGTTTTTATACTCTGAGTTTGTATACACACCGGGCAAGCCTCAAAAATATGTCTGCCCAAGGTGGGGATCGAACCTACGAGCTCGTATATTACGAACTCCATTTTCTACCTGGTTTCTAAAAGAAGAATTCTAGCCTCATCAGAGATTTGAACTCTGGACCCCTGGTTTACTAGACCAGTGCTCTAACCCCTGAGCTAATGAGGCATATTGGTCCAGTCAAACTTTTCCACATGTTATGAAAATGAAGAATTGTTTATGGATATATTTTTGTTTTTGTTTTCACGCGCAATCTTAGCGAAAACTTCTCGTGGACACATCACAGGGGTGGGGTGAATATTTTCCCGAAACGTTTGTTCGCCGCATCACCAGAGCAACCTAACTAAACTACAGTATATTTATTGTATTTTTATGATTGCTGATAAAAACAATAAATATTTGGGTAAAAATCATGCGTTAACAAATCTTTCACAATCAAAGTACAGTTGCAGAAAGTTGTGCCTCGTTTGCTCAGGGGTTGAGCAGAATTCTCGTAAACTGAAGGTCGGGAGTTCGAATCTCTCATCAGTCTCTATCACTTTCTTTGTATTCAGTAGTGAAATGAAGTTCGAAAATGGATCGGACCTTTGAAATGCTAGCACAATTACGCTCTGCCAACTGAGCTACGCGCGGTCAGGTCGGTTCGAGTATGTGATGTTTCAGAACTGAGTCTAGTTCCATCGATACCAATGCAATCTAATAATCATGATTTACTGTGTTGGTGTTCTGTACTAAGGTGAATATGATGTTGGCGTTTTTATACTCTGAGTTTGTATACACACCGGGCAAGCCTCAAAAATATGTCTGGCCATGGTGGGGATCGAACCTACGAGCTCGTATATTACGAACTCCATTTTCTACCTGGTTTCTAAAAGAAGAATTCTAGTCTCATCAGAGATTTGAACTCTGGACCCCTGGTTTACTAGACCAGTGCTCTAACCCCTGAGCTAATGAGGCATATTGGTCCAGTCAAATTTTTCCACATGTTATGAAAATGAAGAATTGTTTATGGATATATTTTTGTTTTTGTTTTCACGCGCAATCTTAACGAAAACTTCTCGTGGACACATCACAGGGGTGGGGTGAATATTTTCCCGAAACGTTTGTTCGCCGACCACCAGAGCAACCTAGCTAAATTACACTATATTTATTGTATATTTATGATTGCTGATAAAAGCAATAAATATTTGAATAAAAATCATGCGTTAACAATCCTTTCACAATCAAAGTAGTGTAGCAGAAAGTTGTGCCTCATTAGCTCAGGGGTAGAGCAGTAGTTTCGTAAACTGAAGGTCGTGAGTTCGAACCTCTCATGAGGCTCTATCAATTTCTTTGTATTCATTAGTGAAATGAAATTTGAAAATGGATCGGATCTTTGAAATGCTAGCACATGGATATATTTTTGTTTTTGTTTTCACGCGCAATCTTCACGAAAACTTCTCGTGGACACATCACAGGGGGGGGAGTGAATATTTTCCGGAAACGTTTGTTCGCCGTCTACCAGAGCAAGCTAATTAAATTACACTATATTTATTGTATTTTTATATTTGCTGATAAAAACAATAAATATTTGTGTAAAATCATGCGTTAACAAAACTGTCACAATCCAAAGTACAGTTGCAGAAAGTTGTGCCTCATTAGCTCAGGGGTAGAGCAGTAGTCTCGTAAACTGAAGGTCGTGAGTTCGAATCTCTCATGAAGCTCTATCAATTTCTTTGTATTCATTAGTGAAATGAAATTTGAAAATGGATTGGACCTTTGAAATGCCAGCACATGTTATCAAAATGAAGTATTTTTTATGGATATATTTTTGTTTTTGTTTTCACGCGCAATCTTCACAAAAACTTCTCGTGGACACATCACAGCGGGGGGGAGGTGAATATTTTCCCGAAACGTTTGTTCCCCGGCCACCAGAGCAACATAACTAAATTACACTATATTTAATGTATTATTGTGATTGCTGATAAAAACAATAAATATTTGCGTAAAAATCGTGCGTTTACAAATCTTTCACAATCAAAGTACAGTTGCAGAATGTTGTGCCTCATTAGCTCAGGGGTAGAGCAGTAGTCTCGTAAACTGAAGGTCGTTTGGCATGAGGCTCTATCAATTCCTTTAAAATGAAATTTGGAATGAAATTTGAAAATGGATCGGACCTTTGAAATGCTAGCACAATTATGCTCTGCCAACTGAGCTACGCGCGATTTGGTCGGTTCGAGTATGTGATATTTCAGAACTGAGTCTAGTTCCATCGATACCAATACAATCTAATAATCATGATTTGCTGTGTTGGTGTTGTGTACTATGGTGAAAATGATGTTGGTGTTGTTATACTCTGAGTGTGTATGCACTAATGAACACGGGGCAACCTTTAAAGATATGTCTGGCCACGGTGTTGATCGAATCTACGAGCTCGTAAATTACAATCTCCATTATCTACCTGGTTTCAACAATAAAAATTCGAGCATTATCAGAGAGTTGAACTCTGGACCCCTGGTTTACTAGACCAGTGCTCTAACCCCTGAGCTAATGAGGGATATTCGTTCAGTAAAACTTTTCCACATGTTATAAAAATGTGAAATTTTTTATGGATATATTTTAGTTTTTACTGGAACAAGTCTTTGGAGGTGGGTTCACAGTGGAGGGTCGATAATGGTTTCTTGAGTCCCAGTTAAGTAAACAAAATTTTACAGAATTTTCATTGTTAGATAAAAACATGCAGTTTCATATTTTACAAACCTGAACCACACATGCAGTTTCATTTCATTCTTAAAAAACTACGCACTGCTCGATCCCCATCAGAGAATTGGACTCCGGACCCCTGGTTTACAAGAGCAGTGCTCTAACCACTGAGCTAATGAGGCATCCATCTGTCCACCAATTACTTTCTTGTCGCTTGTATATTGTTAACCCAATTATCTTGAACGAGGAAGAGGGTTATTGTTAAAAAATGGAAAACAACTACAAGCCAAATATGAAATACGATCGATGGGAAGCACGAAATGGCTGTATAAGGGTCATTATTTCATATCTGTATAGTAATTGCCTTCCCTGTTCTAATGTCCATATATCTTCGGTTATTATTTTGGCCGAAATATGGTTCCCAATTTACTTTAACTTAAGCCTTTACACCGCAAAACTCTATATCTATGTTTCGAATAAACCAGCTCAAATTTAAACTGCTACAACGCGTTTTAGATTTATTTTTGACCTGAATTACTCCAAACAAAAAATTATCGCTTTTATTTTTTCTTGTACGTTCCGAAATCATATATTACACTTTTCTCCAAACTGATTGGCTACGCGAGCGGTCCATATCAGCGCGTCGCACCGCGCGATATTTACAGCCGTAGATGCAGCGTTTTTATTTTAAAAATTTAAACACTTGTTTAAAGGCTACTTTTTGAAATATTAAAAGTCTGAACAAAAAGTCCGATCATATAGTTCCACCACTGGCAGAAACAACATTTGGCAAAAGAAAGGCGTGTTATCTTCAGCTATGACATGCAGTAATTCGGACTAATTATAAACATAACCTTTTTTGAGTTTTTCTGGTAGATTTGACTCCTTTATAATAAACGTACGTTGCATGTATTTATATATTTAAACGACTTTTGCTCTCTTGAAAAATGCTTGAATTCAGTATGTCTCGTTTTTGAATTTTTTAAATAAACATGTCCGGTGACGTAAGGCATACTGCACTGAGGCTGAAGATCGAAGTAAGTGCAAAACGTTGGAAAACTTAAATTACGAAATAATTTACCCATTTCGCTTTAAAAATAAGAATAGAAGCCTCGTCAGAGATTGCAACTCCTGACCTCTGGTTTACTAGACCTGCGGTGCTCTAACCTCTGAGCTAATGAGACATATTTGTTCTGTTAAACTTTCTCGCATGTGATGAAAACATGGAATTTTTAATGAATGTATGTTTGTTTTTAGTTCAAAGCCCTTTAGAGGTGGGTTCACAGTGGAGGGCGGATGAAGATTTCTTAAGGAGGCTCCCTACAGTTGCGTGCGGGATGTTCGCGGGGCCAGTACGTTAACTATCCCACGCAACTGCATGATCAAAACAAAAAAAGAATTGACCATGCTTTTTTTAAAAATAAAGCTATTTCTGAAAGGTTTCTAATGGAAAAAAGCGTTGAATAATACTTCGTTTTGAGTGCCAAATCACTGCGAGTCTATACAGCAATTCTACATATGATACGAACACTCACTAGACCAAAAAATAGCTACGAAACAATGTTTTTTGATTTGTTTTAAATATACACTCTCAACTGTAAAACATTTGCAAAATTGCATACAAACGTTTAAAAAGTTGTTTACTTATCAAGAAAACGTTCTCGCTTTTAGTCGTGTTTCAACAAGGTTAAAGTGATTATATGTAAACAGAAAAATATTTCAGTTTCATAGCCTAATTGTTCATTTTTAGAAGAAAGTACAAAACCAACATGAAACAAAAAGCACGTCCACCTGTTAGTAGGCTGTTACAGCTCATAGATTGAGTAAACGGCAGGGTTCAATTAGCTTCAACCTTGTTTTCATCGATTTGATCGTTCACAATAATCCTTGGCTGTCCATGGCACTGATATAAATCGAAAAGTTGACAAAAACAAAACAGAAAAACAACATTGCCGAGGCTATTACACGAGGCTATTTTCTTACTTTATTTGCATTTTACTCATTAGTTTCATGGGTGACCTATCTTCAAATTTTGACCACGAATTTATTTTTCGAATTTATTTTGCATAACATCTAAACTCCAGAGTTCTGCAGTACCTCTTTTAAGAAATTGTCGGTGGATGGGGCATCAAGAGAACTGGACCCAACCAGGAGTTGGTGAATGGAGAATGTGGGAACTTGTCTGCGACAGAAAACGTTTGAATGTGTAAGTGTCTGGCGGCTGAGTTTCGGGATTTTTAGACACAATTTTTCCACATATATCATCGGCTATACACCAAGATTTGGTCATGGGATTACTAAAATACTCATTTTAATAAACTTATTCTTCCATTTTGGGCTTATATTTTCGACAGTAGGGACCTTCACGGGGGGATGGAGAAATTAGTTCACTGGAGGGGCCAAAACAGGGGCTGTGGTAAACAACCCCCCCCCCCCCCCCATTCGATGGTATTAAAAGATTCCCTGCATGCATGTATTCTCATTACTTGCTTTTAAAAACGTCCAGCTTCAAATTTTACAACGACTATATCTTTTCACTTAAAATAATTTTGTCACCGGACCATACAGTTTTGATTTCATTCTCAAAATCCACGCAGAGTTAAACAAGCCCCACCTGAGAATGGAATTCTGGACCCCTGCATGGTTTACAAGACCAGTGCTCTAACCACTGAGCAAATGAGGCATCTGTCCACCACTGACATTCTTAGCGTTTGTATTTTGTTAGCCCAATTATCTTGAACTACGAAGAGGGTTATTGCGGAAAAAGGGAAAACAACTATAAGCCATTATGAAATATGATCGTTGGAAAGCACGAAATGACTGCGAGGTTTATTAGCTCATATCTGTATAGTAATTATACCTTCCCAGTACATTACTCGATAGATCTTCTGTTATTATTATTGGATGCAATATAAGATTTCCACTTCATTTTAAGCCTTTGCTGCTATATAACAGTGGGTTGTTTCTTAAATTTGACTCATTGGTGCGCGGGTAATAATACTTTACGTTATTGCGATTGGAGATTAAAAAATTGAGATGGAATAACAAATCGTTCTCATGAAAATAAATGATTTTTTCATTAAAACAAAAAAATTTTGCATTTTATCAAATGGATTGTAACAATAAGTATAATTACGGCTTTTCTTCCACTATTTTTAACTCAATTTGAAACTTCAAATGCGATATAATTTTGGCTTGGACCATCTAAGCTGACTGACATCAACTTGCTATAATTTCTGTTTACATTACATCGCAATTCGATGACACATTAAAGTTTAAAGAAGAAAATTCTAACATTTAAACCGACTAAACAATAACATAGTAAACTTTCATAATTAAACAGCAACTAAGAATGATAGGTTTTACTAAATCTTTTCCTGTGCAATTATTACTATAGTTGGCGACAAGGATAATAGTTTGTTTGAAAGAGAAAAGAACAGGCTTTGAAGTAAGCCTAAAAGCGTTTAACTATAGTTATAGCCTAGGTGTATCAAAATAAACGCAATTCATCTTTTGTGCTTAATAACTTTTGAAATACTATTTCTATAGAAATAGTATTTCGAAAGTTATTAAGCACAAAAGATGAATTGCGTTTATTTTGATACACCCTGTATATATATATATATATATATATATATATATATATATATATATATATATATATATATATATATATATATATTAAGATGAAAATGTTCTAGAGTGTGTATTATATAATTTCCATACCCAGCGCAAGCAGAATGATGTTGTCTGCCGCGGCTGGGTCTTGAACCCTGACCTTCGAATTACTAGATCGACGCTCTACCAACTGAGCTACACGGTCAAACGGATTTAAAACTGGAAAATATGAAGTATATGGTCGCGGGTTCAAGACCGAGCCGCAACAGACAACATCTTTCTGCTTGCGCTGGGTATGGAAATTATATAATACACACTCTAGAACATTTTCATCTTAGCATATTACAGAGTGTACAATAACTTAAATTTTGAAACCTTTTATCCACTTCGCTTTAAACGTATACGAATTGTAGCCTTACCTGTGATTTGACCTCTGGACCCCTGTTTTACACACCAATGATCTAAGTCCTGAACGAATGAGGCATATTCGTTCAGCATACCTTTTCTACATGTTATGAAAACTTGAAATTTTCTATGGATGTATTTTTGTTTTTAGTTCAATAGCACTTTAGAGGTGGTTTCGCAGTGGATTGCGCATAACAATTTATTCTGTCCATATTAGTCAAACAAAAATATTACAACCGTTGCAAGATATCCGGCTAAATTCCACAATTCTCAGCTCATTGCTCGGATTTAAAAACTTCCAGTTTCAAATTTACAGCGACAACTTTTCTCGAAATTAAATTTGTCACCGAGCTGTAATCACTGAGCTAAAGAGGCATCTGTCCGCGATTGAATTTCTTAGCCTTTGCATTTTGTTAGCCCAATTATCTTGAACTACGTATATATACGAAGAAGGTTAATTATTGGGAAAAAAGAGAAAACAAGTATCAGTCAATATGAAATACGATCGTTGGAAAGCAGGTTGTTGGCTGCCAGGTTCATTAGCTAATTTCAGTATAATAATTGCCTCCCAGTACATTATCCCATAGATCTTCGGCTAGACCTATTATTTGAATGCACTATGGTGGTTTTCACTATATTTTAGGCATTTGCAGCGCATAACTTCATATTGAAGTTTCAAATAAACAAGCACACATTTAAACCTCCACAACAAGTTTCAGATTTATTTTTAACGTGCAGTATAATTTATTGCCAATCTTAAGAGGAGGAAGTACAGAAATAAGGGACTTACAGCAAATCAAATTTTATGCACGTGCTTTGGAACAGTTGAGACTGCAGCCAGTCATGCGTTAATAAATCTTTCCCAATCAAAGTACGGTTGCCGATAGTTGTGCCTCACTAGCCCCGACGTAGAGCTGTGGTCTCGTAAATTGAAGGTCGTGAGTTCGAATCTCTCATGAGGCTCTAAGAATTTTTTTGTTTTATCAGTGATTTGAAATTTGAAAAATTGTTGTGACTTAGCTATATTGCACAAACACTGTACATTTCAAGGAGTCTAATCAACTCCAAATTTAAAAGTGTTATTCTGCAATCGTTTTAGACCGTTTTTGGTTACAGAATAAAACTTTTTGAGTTGTTTCAACTCCTTGAAATTTACAGTGAAGGCTGAAGAAGTGCAAAACGTTGGAAAACTTCATTTACTGCTGTATCAAAATTATACGCTAAAATTTACGAACTCCATTATGTACTTCGTTTCAAAAATAAGAATTCGAACCTCATCAGAGATTTGAACTCTGGACCCTGGTTTACTAGACCAGTGCTCTAACCCCTGAGCTAATGAGGCATACTCGTGCAGTAAACCTTTTCTACGTGTTATGAAATTGTGGAATTTTCCCCAAGCCGACGGCGCGAAGCGCCGTGCGAGGGTACTAATTCCCCCCGGCTATTTACACCCGGGGGAACGAAAGTTTTGGCGAAGTCTAAAGTTCATCAATTATCGCGGGCGCTCACCAACGGTGTTGAGTGGGTGGTCATCACTGATCTCAAAATATGGCTGTTTGCCAGGAGTGAAGAAGGCAAAAAATATAAAACAATACATGTAAGAAAGCTTGGAAAATCGTTTCACATAACAAATTGTACAACTTTTTTGCAATTTTTGAACGTAAACATTGATAAGAATTGATATTTTACGAGGGTACTAATTCCGCCCGGCTATTTACACCCGGGGAAACGAAAGCATTAGCGAAGTCTAAAGTTCATCAATGATCGCGGGCGTTGGTCACCAACGGTGGTCATCCTCACTGATCTCGAAATATGTGGCGTACTGTCATGAATAGCGAACACTGATTGGTCAAATTTATAATTTGTTGTTGTGATTGATTTGTTGGCAAATGACGACAGCGAAATAACGAACATTTCTTGCAAATCAGCAAATATATTGTTTTCTTGCAAGATATTCCAAATTTCAAAACTTTTTTGAGAGCCAAAAAACGTCCAAGAACGACTAAAACAACGGAGCAAAGTCGCCGACGTTAATGAAGGTAAGTTTGTTTTTAATATAATATATTGTTTGCTTTATAATTGCTTCAGAAAAACTGATACGATGGTTCCGTATATAAGTGAAAGAAACAGCATATAATTGGAGCGTATTTTTATTAATTACCCTTTTTTTGTATATTAAAATATTTAAATAAAGAGGAAAGCAAAGATATTTTTATGCAAGAATTTGAAATCAGATTATTTCAATTTTGAAACTCATTGTTTACCGATAAAAGGGAGACAGTTTAGTTTTAAGAACATGTTGAAACGTTTTGGAAAGCGTTTGCGGTTGATTTTTACATTAAATTGAAGCTTATATTACGTATAATAACATTTCTGGCATATATATGTTTGGGAAATTGATCGTGTTACCATGACAATACTTCATGTTTGGAAAACATAATAGTTTTGTTAGCAAGGCGAGGGTTTCTGCATGCATGCATGTATTTTCTAGTCTATGAGTTGTTTTTAGTGGAACAACTCTTCAGAGCTGGGTTCACAGTAGAGGGCCGACAATGAATTCTTGAGTCACAATTAGTTAATTAAACAAAATTCCACAGAATTTTAATTGTTAGCCTAGATTATAAAAACATGCAGTTTCATATTTCACAAACCTAAACCACACATACAGTTTTAATTTCATTCTTAAAAAACTGTGCACGGCTACTGTACGAGCCCCATCAGAAAATTGAACTCCGTACCCCTCGGGTTTACAAGACCATGCAGTGCTCTAACCACTGAGGTAATCAGGCACAGATGTCCACCAATCGCTTTCTTAGCGCTTGTATTTTGTTAGCCGAATTATCTTGAACTACGAAAAGGGTTATTGTGAAAAAAGGGAAAACAACTATAAGCCTAATATGAAATATGATCATTGAAAGCACCAAATGGCCGTGAGGTTCATTAGCTCATATATGTATTGTAGTTGCCTTCCCTGTGTGTACTAAATGTACATAGATCTTCGGTTTTTATTTGAGCGAAATATGGTTACATTAGGCCCATTTTACTTTAGGCCTTTACAGCGCAAAACTTTATATTTACGTTTCGAATAAACCAGCTCGAATTTAAACTTCTAAAACGCGTTTTAGATTTATTTTTGAAGTGCAGAACTCCAAGCTAAAAATTATCGCTTTTATTTTTTCTCGTACGGTCCGAAATCATATTTTACGCTTTTCTCCAAACTGATTAGCTACGCGAGTGGTCCATATCAGTCCGCCAGGACCGCGCGATATTTAAAGCCTTAGATCCAGTGTTTTTATTTTTAAAAATTTAAACACTATAGTTTAAAGGCTACTTTTTAAAACACTAAAATTCTGAACAAAAATTAAAATGAGGAAAAGTTCGATCATAGCTCCATAACTGGCAGAAACAACTTTTCCAAAAAAACCCGCTGTTATCTTGAGCGATGACAGTGACTCGGACTAAACATATAACATTTTGAGATTTTTCTGTTAGATTTGAGTCCTTTATAATAAACTTCCGTTACATAATATATTTATATATTTAAACGACTTTTGTTCCCTTGAAAAGTGCTTGAATTCAGAATGTTTCGTTTTTCAATTTTTTAAATAAACATGTTAGGTGACGTTAGCCATACTGCACTGAGACTGAAGAAGAGCAAAACGTTGGAAAACTTAAATGATAAAATCCTTTATCCACTTCGCTTTAAAAATAATAATTGAAGCCTCATCAGAGATTTGAACTCCGGACCCCTGGTTTACTAGACCAGTGCTCTAACCCCTGAGCTAATGAGGCATATTTGTTCAGTAAAACTTTCTCACATGTTATGAAAACTTGGAATTTTCAATGAACATATTTTTGTTTTTAGTTAAAACCCCTTTGGAGGTGGGTTCACAGAGGAGGCGGATGGAGTTTTCTTAATTGGGTCCGAATTAGTTGAACCCAAATTTTACCATCCGTTGCATAACATCTAAATTACAGAGTTCTCCAGGGACTCTTTTAAGAATTTTCAGTGGATGGGGCATCAAGAGAAAGGGAACCAACTAGGAGCTGGTGAACGGAGAAAGGGGGAACGTGTCTAGCGCAGAAAAGGTTTGAATTTTTAAGTGTCTGGTGGTTGATTTTACACATTAATGCTAGTCTGGTCGCAAGGCTTTCCTCACGATTTGAAGTTTGAGACTGGTTTTCTGTTGAAATTCGTCCTAATTTGCCTATTCCGAATTTAGTTGAAAATGAGCACTTGCAAATTTGGCAATTACTGACCGCGTTGCTTGCTTTTTTGGACTTAAAACGTAACCATTTACACATTGTCTCAATTCTGAATAAGCAGAGAAGATACAGCAACATTTTAATGCAAGATTGTTTGTTAATATTTGGGGAGTGTTATAGAAAGGGGCGTTTTACAAAACACCGGGTCTTGCTTGCAAGCCCACTATTTTCGCTGGGGCTGCACGCGGGCTATCTTTTCGCGGAAAATAATTTGTCACCGGACCATACAGTTTTGAATTTATTCTCAAAAACCACGCAGTTACCAGCCCCATCAGAGAATTTAACTCTGGACCCCTGGTTTACAAGAACAGTGCTCTACAACCACTGATCTAAAGAGGCACCTGTTATCCCAATTATAGCCCAAATATCTTGAACTACGAAGAGGGTTATTGCGAAAATAGGGGAAAACAACTATAAGCCATTATGAAATATGATCGTTGGAAAGCACGAAGTAGCTGCGAGGCCAGCTCAAATTTAAACTTCCACAAAACGTTTTACATTTATTTTTAACATGCTGCTCCAAGCGAAAAACAATCGCATATATTCGTTGGTATTTTTGGAATTTCTAAGTACTGGAATAATGGACTTATACCCAATTAAATTTCTCGCACGTCCTTTGGAACAGTTGAGACTGCAACCAATTCGCATGCGTTCATAAATCTTTCCCAATTAAAGTACTACTGCAGAAAGTTGGGCCTCATTAGCTCAGAGGTAGAGCAGTAGTCTCGTAAACTGAAGGTCGTGAGTTCGAATCTCTCATGAGGCTCTAACAATTTCTTTGTATTCATTAGTGAATTGAAATTTAAAAAATTGTTGGGATTTAGCTACACTGCAATGAGGATAAAGAAGTGCAAAATTTTGGAAAACTTAGATTTTGAAATCCTTTATCCACTTCGCTTTAAAAGTAAGACTTCTAGCCTGATCAGTGATTTTAACTCTGAACCCCTGGTTTACTAGACCAATGATCTAATCCCTGAGCTAATGAGGCATATTCGTAGTTCAGCATACCTTTTCCACATGTTATGAAAATTTGAAATTTTCTATAGATGTATTTTCGTTTTTGGTTCTATAGCTTTTTTGAGGTGGGTTCGTATTGGAGGGCGCATAACGATTTATTGTGTCCACATTAGTTAAACAAAAATATTACAAGCCTTTGCAAGATATCTGGCCAAATTCCAGAATTCTCATTGCTTGAATTTAAAAACTTCCAGCTTCAAATTTTACAACAACCAGATTTTCTCGAAAATAATTTGTCACCGAGCTCTAACCACTGAGCTAATGAGGCACATGTCCACCACTGACTTTCTTAGCGTTTGTATTTTGTTAGCCCAATTGTTTTGAACTACGAAAAGGGTTATTGCGAAAAACAACCATAAGCCATTATGAAATATGATCGTTGGAAAGAATGAAATGGCTTCCAGGTCCATTAGCTCATATCTGTGTAGTAATTGCCTTCCCTGTACATTACCTCATAGATCTTCAGTTATTATTTGGGCAATATGGTTTTCACTTCATATTAAGCCTTTGCAGCGCATAACTTCATATTTATGTTTCGAATAAATCAGTTCAAATTTAAACTTTAACAAAACGTTTTAGATTTATTTTTAACGTGCAGTATAATTTATTGGAAACTATAAGAGAAGGAAGTACAGAAATAAGGGACATACAGCAATTTAAATTTCTTGCACGTGCTTTGGAACAGCCGGGACTGGAACTAATCAATAAATCGTTAAAGGACATTGGCAACGAAAATTTTTATTGGCTATTTCAATCCTACTTGACAACCGTACTATGAAAATATTATCATTTCCTTCTTGAACACTCTACGAGTAAAATGCATGCAAACTTTGTGTTTCGGCCAGTTTCGCCGCCATCTTGGAAAATATTTTTGAAAAATTATCTCGAAGGTCAATGAACTTTGTGACGTCATTGGCTGGGTAGCACCAAAACTACAAGAGAGAATTCTATTGCGTGCGTGTTATGTTAGCTAAAAATATGTCGTTTTGAGCGTTATACTGGCCAACACTCTTCGTAATCAAACAAGAGAAGTCTACACTATCAGATAAAAACATATCGAGCGACTGAGAAAGCAAGAAATGGCGCAATTTACAATGCAGGTAATTGATCATAAAATATTGCATTAGTATTTGCCTTGTTACACTCGAATTTCTGCGCTTATTTAACACGGAGTAGGATGTATACTATGAGAAATAGTGTTACAAACAAGTTACATACTTGGTAAAACTTTTCTGCCTTTTGTTTTGGCTCAAAATGGACTACGCGTAGTAATACACGGTATTTTTTATAGTCATGAGATTGTGTTTACCCAGCCAATGATGTCAGATAATGTATTTTGTGGCATAAATTAGCATACGCGCTTATTTTCAAAATGGCGGACAACTGTTCAAATTTTCTCAAATTCAATCAAATTTTCTCAGCAACTAAACGCGACAAACCGGCCAAAATATGAAATTAAATATTCCGTAAGTATACCTAATAGATATAAGTAATAAAAATTTTGGTTGCCAATGTCCTTTAATAAATCATGCGTTAATAAATCTTTCCCAATCAAAGTACGGTTGCCGAAAGTTGTACATGTGCCTCGCCTTCTCCGGGGTAGAGCAGTGGTCTCGTAAATTGAAGGTCGTGAGTTCGAATCTCTCATGAGGCTCTTTCAATTTCTTTGTTTCATTCGTGAATTGAAATTTGAAAAATTGTTGTGAGTTAGCTATATTGTACTAAGGCTGAAGAAGTGCAAAACGTTGGAAAACTTCGTTTACTCCTGCATCCAAATTATACGCTAAAACTTACGAACTCCATTATAAAATTCGTTTCAAAATAAGAATTCGAGCCTCATCAGAGATTTGAACTCTGGATCCCTGGTTTACTAGACCAGTGCAGAATTTGTCAGTGGATGGGGCATCAAGAGAAAGGGACTCGACTAGGAGCTGGTGAACGGAGAAAGTGGGAACTTGTCTGGGCCAGAAAACGTAAGGATTTTCAAGTGTCTGGCGGTTGATTTTCGGGATTTTTCGACACTATTTTTCCACATAAATCATCCGCTATACACAAAGATTTGTTCATGGGATTACTAAAATACTCTTCGGCTGCGAGGTTTATTAGCTCATATCTGTATAGTAATTTCCTTCCCAGTACATTACTCCATAGATCTTCAGTTATTAATTGGACGCAATAGGGTTTCCACTTTATTTTAAGACTTTGGAGCGCAGAACTTTATATATATATATATATATATATATATATATATATATATATATATATATATATATATATATATATATATATATATAGGCTATGTTTCGAATTAACCTGCTCAAATTTAAACTTCCACAAAACGTTTTAGATTTATTTTAACGTGCATGCAGTACTCCAAGCGAAAAATAATAGCTTATATTCGTTGGTATTTTTGGAATTTCTAAGTACAGAAATAAAGGACTAACAGCAAACTAAATTTCTCGGACGTGCTTTGGTATATTTGAGACTGCAACCAATCCGCATACCGGTTAATAAATCTTTCAAAATTAAAGTACTGCTGCAGAAAGTTGTGCATCATTAGCTCAGGGGTAGAGCAGTAGTCTCGTAAACTGAAGGTCATGAGTTCGAATCTCTCATGAGGCTCTATCAATTTCTTTGTTTCATTAGTGAATTGAAATTTGAAAAAATTGTTGTGAGTTACCTATATTGCACTCAGGCTGAAGAAGTGCAAAACGTTCGAAAACTTCATTTACTGTTGCATTCAAATTATACGCTAAAAATTACGAACCATTATCCACTTCGTTTCAAAAATAAGAATTCGAGCCTCATCAGAGATTTGAACTCCGGACTCCTGGTTTACAAGACCAGTGCTCTCACCCCTGAGCTAATGAGGCATATTCGTTCAGTAAACCTTTTCCACATGTTATGAAAACCTTGAATTTTTTATGGATATATTTTTGTTTTTAGTGGAACAACTCTTTGGAGGAGGGTTCAGAGTAGAGGCCCGATAATGATTTGTTTAGACCCAATTAGTTAAACAAAATTTTAGAGAATTTTCATTGTTAGATTATAAAAACATGCATTTTCATATTTTACAAACCTGGACCACACATACAGTTTTCATTTCATTCTTAAAAAACTACGCACGGCTACTGCACGCCCGTGGGGGGGGATGTTCGAAACATAAATATAAAGATCGTCCCTGCAAAGGCTTCAGATAAAGTGGCAACCATATATTGCATCCAAATAATAAACGAAGGTCTATGGAGTAATGTACTTGGAAGGAAATTACTATACAGATATGAGCTAATAAACCTTACAGTCATTTCGTGCTTTCCAACGATCATATTTCATATTGGCTGATAGTTGTTTTCCCTTTTTTCGCAATAACCCTCTTCGTAGTTCAAGATTATTGGGCTAACAAAATACAAACGCTAAGAAAGTCAGTGAGGAAGCGATGCCTCATTTGCTCAGTGGTTAGAGCAGTAGTTTTGTAAACCAGTGGTCCAGAGTTCGATTCTCTGATGGGGCTGGTAACTGTGCGTGGTTTCTGAGAATGAAATCAAAACTGTATGGTCCGCTGCCAAAATTATTTTCCGTGAAAAGAGAGTCGTTAAGGCTGAAGAAGTGCATAACTTTGGAAAACTTAAATTATGAAATCTTTATCCATGCATGCTCTCTCCTCCGCAGAGGCTTACATGAAGTTTCTAGTGAGCGAAAAGTGAGCGCGCAAGGAGTGATGGGAAAAGTTAAATAAAGGAAGCCTCTGCTAGTTAATGCAATCAATATGGCGTCGTATATAATCGTTTGTAGCGAAGCTCTATCAACCATCGGGGGTGTTAAAACATGTTTTCCACTTTCCTTTCAGGCGTACTTGTGTCTCCCGGAATGAATCCAATATCAATATCTTCTTCTGTTCATTTGCACCGAAAATATTGAGAAATTGCAAATAAATATAAATGGTACGAGCTATTTAATTATAAGTATCCTCAAAATTGCAACATTTCGTTATAAAAATGACTCCACTGAACTTCAATACTCAGATTATGAAGATTTATTTCAATTTCTTCTACATTTCCGTCGAGTTCAAGTTTAAAAAAGGTTAAACAACTAGTTTGGTTCAAAAACCATACTTCGTTGCATTATCTGGCAGAGCCTCCCCAACTTCATTTCAATCTTCCCATTACACCGCGCGCGCTCACTTTTATTCAGGAAACTTCATGTAAGTTATTTGTAAATACTTAAGGAGGCTCTGCGGAGGAGAGAGTCCATGCATGCACTTCGCTTTAAAAGTAAGAATTGTAGCCTCATCAGTGATTTGAACTCTGGACCCTTGGTTTACTAGACCAATTATATAAGCCCTGAGCTAATGAGGCATATTCGTTCAGTAAACCCTTCCACATGTTATGACAGTGTAGACTTTTTTATGGATATATTTTTATTCCCCGTGGAACAACTCTTTAGAGAAGGGTTCACAGTGGAGGGCCGATAATGATTTCTTTAGTCCCAATTAGTTAAACAAAATTTTACAAAATTTTCATTGTTAAATTATAAAAATATGCAGTTTCATATTTTACAAACCTAAACAACACATACAATCTTCATTTCATTCTTAATACGCACCGCTACTGTACGAGCCCCATCAGAGAATTGAACTCCGGACCCCTGGTTTACAAGACCACTGCTCTAACCACTGAGCTAATGAGGCATCTGTCCACAACCTACTTTCTTAGCGCTTGTATTTTGTTAGCCGAATTATCTTGCACCACGAAGAGGGTTATTGTGAAAAAAGTGAAAACATCTATAAGCCAAATATGAAATACGATCGCTGGAAAGCACGTAATAGCTGCGAGGTTCGTATCTGTATAGTAATTGCCTTCCCTGTACTAATGTCCATAGATCTTCGGTTATTATTTGAGCGAAATATGGTTCACACATTTCATTTAGACCTTTACAGGGCAAAACTTTATATTTATGTTTCGAATAAACCAGCTCAAATTTAAACTTCTACAACGCGTTTTAGATTTATTTTTGACGTGCAGCACTCCAAGCTAAAAATTATCGCTTTTATTTTTTCTCGTACGGTCAGAATTCGTATTTTACGATTATCTCCAAACCAATTGGCTACGCGAGCGGTCCGTATCAGCCCGTCCGGACCGCGCAATATTTAAAACCGTAGATGCAGTGTTTTTATTTTTAAAAATTTAAACACTAGTTTAAGGTTACAGGACACCCTTTTTGACGTTTTGTGGAAAATCGCTACTGCGCGCTCAAAATCGGTCCGACTTAACGACTTTCATCAAATTTGCACCAAATGTTAGCCAGTGCATGCAAAATATGATAAAGTTGTAAAATTGACAAACAAAATAAAGTAAGAATTATTTAGGAAAATATTAAGTCGCGATACCTTTACGCTTTTGAGTTATGTTCCTGCTGGTTTTAAGATATATTTATGAAAATATCAGTTTTATACAGTAAAATAGTTGTTCTAAAAAATTGTGCTCGGAAATTTTTGTTTATTTCGTCATTCCCCTGATATGGCGATTTCTTTGACGACTGCAATATATTTCTGAATCGTTTGTGTGAATTGCTCCTTATTATTAAAATATCCAAAACTAGAACAAAGCCGAACAAAATTTTGAAACTGACGTCTTTAGCTATGTTCTGTGAATGTTTGAGAAAAATTCGTTAAAACCCGCAGGAGCACAACTCGTTTAAAAATCAGTAATTGCCGTAAAATTCTTCGCGAGAGAATTGAATTTGAATACTACATTTTCAATGTTTTTCTTATTGCACGCGAAATGTATTTTATTAAATAACTCTGCGAGTTTTCAACATTTTTCGTCCAAACTTTGTCAGATAGTAGAACTAATCTAATGCTTTCATGAAAACCAATAAAAAAATTTAGGCAAAATTAACACTCAAAGGTGTTCTGTAACCTTAAAGGCTACTTTCTAAAACATTAAAATGTCTTAACTTAACAAAAATTAAAATGAGGAATAGCTCCAGAACTGGCAGAAACAACTTTTGCCATAAAAAGGCGTGTTATCTTGAGCGATGACAGTGACTCGGACTATAAACATAACTTTTGTGAGATTTTTCTGTTAGATTTGATTCCTTTATAATAAGCTTCCGTTGCATATATTTATATATTTAATTTAAACGACTTTTTTTCTCTTGAAAAGTGCTTGAATTCAGAATGTTTCGGTTTTGAATTTTTTAAATAAACATGTCAGGTGACGTTAGCCAAACTGCACTGAGGAAGTGCAAAACGTTGGAAAACTTAAATTATGAAATCCTTTATCCATTTCGCTTTAAAAATAAGAATTGAAGCCTCATCGGAGATTTGAAATCCGGACCTTGGTTCACTCAACCTCGTACCCAGGGCTTCTGCGCTTATTGCTCTCAGAAGCCCTGGGATAATCCAAACCGGAACACCATAGAACAGTGGTGCCCCCGGAAGCGGAAGTAAACAGTAGCTCCAGCTAAAAACGCTGACTGGGCATATTTTTACGCAAGGAGTGAGAATGGATTATTTGTTGCAATTTATGATATATTTGGACTTGTAAAGACGTCTTAAACTGCTTCTCGCGTGGCTTTTGGAATTTAAAGTCAGGAATGATCAATTTAGAGATACAATTATGCGTAAAATTAGCCCTTTGGCGAGCAAAAGAACATCTTATATCGCGACAACAGCATACCTTGTCAGCGATATACAGGGGCTATTCAATAATTAAAGTATAAATATTTATATTCGAGTACAACCTTGGTCATTTCAAAATTAACAGACTAGAAATCTTACTGGTAACATGGCTGGCTGCCGATTATCTTGGATTTGAGGGTTTTGAACAAGATATTGCAAGATTTAATTATAAATGCACAAGATATACTGTACTGTAAACATGCATCTACTTGAAGAATGTAAAATGAACAGTGATGAGTGATGTAATATAATTCTGCACTTTAATATTTGGAAAACCTTTTTGGCAAATCTTGAGAATAATGGCTTTGGGAATCAATGTTGAAAATTAAAAACTGTCAGATAGCTGCATGGACAGCATGGTTAGAAGCATACATGTCATCAGATGAAACTCCAACTTTTGTTAATTGCTGATGTTCTAGTATTGGAATGAACAGTGTTATAAGAACCAATGGTGCTGAACTATTTTGGGTTTATTATAAAATATTGTTTATCATTTAGTTCTGGCCATTAACCTTACCTATTAAGTTACACATTGTGTCTTACTTTTTATTTTACTCTGGTGTGCACCCCCCCCCAGGCTCTGGTCAACAGGGGTGCATGTGGGGGGGGGGGAAAAATTATGTTTATCCCAATTCTAACCAACTTATGTTAAGGAATTCAGTTGGGTATCACTAGTTGACAATAGTGGAATAGCCAATATTAAATATTCTGAATTTTTTAAATGTTTTGAGAATCTAAAAATTTTCCAAAATGTTTTCTCAGAATGCTGGAAATGCCATTTCAGAGACCCAAATTTTAAAAATTTTCTGTGGTACTATGCCCGGCCCGGACCACCCTAGAAATCTCGCGCCTTCGGCGCTCGTTTCGCCATTGGTTAGCACCCCCCAAAAAAACTTTGCTGGATCCACCACTGCACCAGATGATTTTATATGTTGGGATAGATCATTGGTGTTCAATGGATTATCTCATAATACACACTAGTTTGTTAACCTACTCTAACACCATCATTGGCAATGGAATTGAGCAGTGATGTAGCCAGAATTTCTAATTAAGGCCTTCAAGGGGGACTGAAATCCCCAGGAGGGGCCTGCACTAGTTTGAATAAAGTTTGTTAGTATGTAAAAATATATTTGGACTCCCAAGCTATCCATGTATAATATAGTACAATGTAAACTTTTTAAATTCTAGTTAATAAAGTGCCATTTTGGGGGGCTATTTTAATGTGTTTTGGTGATTTGAAATAGCCTTGCAGTTAACACATGTTCAACTCTAATTAATTACAAACAAGTTCAGAACATTTAAAATATTTTGACCCCCCCCCCCTCTGGTTACACCACTGGAATTGACTTGAGCCTTTTAGACCTCTGAATTTTAGTTGCAACTTAGAACAGTGTTCTGACATACAAGAAAATTGTAAGAAAATTTAAAATTTGTGCAAAAGCATTTCTCAAATAGGTCGTTCCAGAAAATATCCACACTCCCCCCACAGAGGAAATTTCTGCCGTTCAGAGGGGGAGGGGGAAAAAATTGTTTCTGATAATAATAAATGTATTAGGACATCCAAAGGGGTATGAGGGATTAACTTTCAATTTCCTCTGTGGGAGTGGTATGGGTGTTTTCTGGAATGACCCAATATAACTGTGTTTTTTTCCCAATCTAATCAAACTGTCAATCCTTGTACATGGGGAGGGGAAATTTTGGAGAAATAAAAATTGTGACCAATCAGGTTGGGGGTCCACCTGTAGGCCTGGTCATAGGCGTACAGGGCGGGGCTCAATTGTTGGGCAGACTAGGCCAGTCGGGCAATATTGACTTCACAGTTGGGCAATATTGGCTTATTATAAAAATAAATAGGAGAAATTATTCCCTCAATATTGGGGGAAATATGCTAAGTATATAATGGTCGAAATTTAGTTCATTTTGATTAATAGTCATTTAATATATGTGCTATCAACAGTTTCTTTATGGTATTAAGTGACAGATTACAATGTTTGTACATTAGAGATTTAGAGGCACTAATAATCAATAATAAATAGGCACTAATACAAACTCTGAGCCAGTGCACCCAGCATCCTCAAATTGGGAATAATTTGTAAATTTAAATATTTGTGTATAATTCATAATTTATCCTACTCCAATACAAAATGCAATAATGTAGAACACGCAATTTATCAAATAAAGGTAAAAAAGGTATTAAAAACTTTATTATGTAATATTTACATTGAATATCGTGGTTGAAGTTGTAGATTTATAATTGAAATTTCAATTTTCGAACGAGAAATGTTTCGCTTTATTATGTTAATTTTTTTACTCTGTTCGCCATTCTTGCTTATTTACAAATACAAATAGTCCATTTCTTCTTTTGCTCTTTTCAAAATAGCCCAGAATTTGATTTAAGGAAGTATTTTCATGCAAAAACCAGCATTTAACTTTTGTATACACTCCTTGTGATAGCAGCCATGTTGCCAAAATTCGCATTGACCAATCAAATCACGTTCTGAGTTGGATTATCCCAGGGCTTCTGAGAGCAATAAGCGCAGAAGCCCTGGGTACGAGGTTGTGGTTCACTCGACCAGTGCTCTAAACCCAGCCTAGTACTCAGGCGCTATGTGTTGTTCTGGGCTTGCGCGGTTTTGCGTGGGCCGCGTGGATTAATTTGATCGATTTCATGGTGAGTCGCCTGGCAGAATCCGTTTCGATTTCTGGAGCGGACTCAATAAACTGGATTTTTAGAGGTTTGAAATACCACTTTTCATTGAAAACTGTATGACATTGATGAATCTTTCAAAAGAATAACCGTTGAATGTAAATTTGTGCGAATATCGTGCTTATTTAAACTACACAAAGTCGGGTATATTAAAATACTATATAATTATATAATCAAACAGCCTAGTGTAAATTCGTTTTGGAGTGAATCTACGTAGCCTTCGTTGCTTCAGTCGCTTTATGGATTGAATAAGTCACAGAAATGGCATTGCAATATGATGAAAGGCATCAGAATACCGATCTCAAGAGGCTCAAACTCTCAAAGAACGCGGCGGCCTATAGGAGTATAGTCAGTATAGGCGGCTGCAAACAGTTTATATTTGTAAACAGTCACAACAATAGATATTCGTGTCGTCCTGTAGAGTGTAGTACAGTCATTAATTACGTTTAATATACTGGATTAAAATGACGAGAAATATAACTAGATTCAAAATAACCAGTGATTTGCAAATATCCGCACAACACCTGGCCTAGCCAAGGTCAAAATATACTTATATTACTATATACAGTATGGCTACGTTCGAACCATATGGCTCTAAATTATAGAAATCTTGACAAATAAATCAAATTTTGTATCTCAACTACAAATTTTGAGGTTAATACGATAAATACAATGCGTGATATAGAACTGATATGGAACAAAAACAGCAAAATCATGACACTAGCTGTAGTGACTGCATAGTTAATATTAAAACAGTATGAACAAAGCAAACTATTAAAAGTTTAAGTTAAATATTGCACTCCAAAGAGTACTGGCAATGTACGAACCCGTATTTTGCTGTAAACAATGTCATTTCAATAATAATATAAATAATACAGAACACTTGCAGAACACTGACCCGCCAGTTTGAATGCGAATTCTGCCAGGCGCTTCCCGCCGAATTTTCCATTTTTCTCCCTCGCGTGCCGCGCCACGTCCGCTTAATGACATAAACAAACCAAAGCGCCTGGGTACGAGGCTGCTCTAAACCCCTGAGCTAATGAGGCATATTCGTTCAGAAAATCTTTCTCAAATGTTATGAAAAATTGGATTTTCAATTAACGTATTTTTGTTTTTAGTTCAAACCCCATGAGAGGTGGTTCACAGAGACGGGCGGATGAATATTTCTTAATTGGGTCCGAATTAGTTGAACCCAAATTTTACAATCCGTTGCATAACATCTAAATTCCAGAGTTTTCCAGGGACTCTTTTACCAATCTGTCAGTGGATGGGGCATCAAGAGAAAGGGACCCAACTTGGAGGTGGTGAATGGAGAAAGTAAGAACATGTTTGGGCCAGAAAATGTTTGGATTTTTAAGTGTATGGCGGTTAATTTTCGGGATTTTTAGACACAATTTTACCATATACATCATTCGCTACACACAAAGATTTGGTAATAGGATTACTAAAACACTCTTCATAGCTAAATTATTCTTCCATTTTTGGATTATATTTTATACGGGAGGGAACTTCACTGGGGGATGGAGAAATTAGTTCACTGGAGGGGCCAAACCAGGGACTGTCGTGAACAAATCCCCCCCCCCCCATTCTATGGTATTAAAAGTGTCCCTGCATGTATTCTCATTACTTGATTTTAAAAATGTCGAGCTTACATTGTGTTTCCAGACTATACAGTTTTGATTTGATTCTCAAAAACCACGCACAGTTACCTTCCCCATCAGAGAATTGAACTCTGGACCACTGGTTTACAAGACCACTGCTCTAACCACTGAGCTAATGAGGCATCTGTCCACCACTGACTTTCTTAACGTTTGCATTCTATCCCCGAGCTGACGGCGCGAAGCGCCGTGCGAAGCTACGAATTCCCCCCGGCTATTTACACCCGGGGAAACGAAAGCATTAGCGAAGTCTAAAGTTCATCAATCATCGCGGGCGTGGCTCACCAACGATGTTTCGGTGGGTGGTCATCCTCACTGATCTCAAAAATATGGCGGACTGACATGAATAGCGGACACTGATTGGTCCAGTTTAAAGTTTGCATTATAACGACTGCATGACGACAGCGAAATAGCAAACATTTCTTGATTTGATGATTGATATATTTCTTGCAAATATATTTCATTTTTGCTCGCATTTTTGCTAGATTTTGTAAATTTCAAAAGCTTTCTCAGAAAGAAAGGGCGAAAGAATCGGTTAAAAGAAGGGAGCCGACGTGAGAGATCTTGGCATTGTCGACTGAGAAAGGAGCAAAGTCCAGCAGCAGATTAGTTAATCTTTGTCCGGTATTGAAAAACGGCGTCCTGTGTGTTGGCGGCCGACTGCGACACGCCCCAATAACATCCGAAGCCATCAATCCAATGATTGTTCCCAACGAGCATCACATCGCCGCATTGATCATTTCTTATTTTCATCACGTCCTAGGTCACGATGGTCGGGAACATGTACTGTCAGCTGTTCAGCAGAGGTACTGGATATGAAATACACGTGCGCTAACTCGTCAAATTCTTCGCCAGTGTATAACCTGCCGTAAGAATAACGAATCACCAATGTCGCAGAAGATGGGCGATCTCCCTGGTGCCAGACTCACTCCATACGAGCCACCATTTACTTTCACGGGTTTGGACATCTTTGGCCCGTTTATTGTGAAACGTGGACGTAGTTCGCAAAAGATATACGGGTGTATCTTTGTATGTTTTACCACGAGAGCAGTTCATATCGAAGATGTCGGTTCATTAGAAACTGATACATTTGTCTTGGCACTGAGGCGTTTCATAACCGTTCGTCGAGCAGCTAAGGAGATATGGAGCGACAACGGAACGAATTTTACTGGTGGCGAAAGAGAGCTAGGCTTACTCATGCGAGAATGGGATCAAAGAGCAATTATCAAAGCAGCACATGAGAAAGGAGTGGAATGGCACTTCCAACCCTTTAAGAAATGGCATTTTCAACCACCAACCGCAAGTCATATGTCTGGTGTGTGGGAACGACTAATTCGAAGTGTGCGCAAAGTCATGAAGGCTATCCTCGTTCATCCACATGCCTTTGTGGATCGTGAGACGTTGCGGACACTTTTCGCTGAAGTTGTTGGTATCCTTAACACCCGTCCGTTGTGTCCAAGCAGTGTTGATCCAAAAGATATGGAAGCGCTAACGCCAAGTCATTTCCTCCAGCAACGTCAAGGATTGGCTATTCCTCCTGGAGTGTTCGAAGATTCAGAGATGTTCTCACGTAAGAAATGGACGAGAGCACAGGTGCTAGCAAATCAATTTTGTGCTCGTTGGGTTCGAGAGTATCTTCCCATTCTTCAAGTAAGGAAAAAGTGGCTTCTGCCGAAAAGAAATCTTCAAGTGAATGATCTCGTGTTGGTCGTTGACTCAACCCAGCCAAGAAGTCATTGGAATCTAGGACGTGTGACGAAGGTGTTTCATGGCACGGACGGTTTAGTACGCACAGCCGTAGTAAAGACCCAGTTGACGTTACTAGTGAGACCTATCACAAAGCTTTGCTTGTTAGAAGAGATGAAATGAGTTTATATTGAACGACTGTCTAACCGTTCAACGGGGGGACTATGTCGAGGCGCCCTCAACACTATAGTACGGCGGTATTTAGAGTTAATAGTATTCATAACTATATTAATGACATTCATATTTTTGGACACGAAAGCGTGGACTTTTGCCCTCTCGAAGGAAAGTACAAAGTTCAGCCGTGGGTGCGGCAACAGTTTTTGCTAAGATTTTCTTTGAACAAGTTAACGTTTAATTTCCTATATTGTTAGTCTACATCGTATGTACCTTGACATTTGGTGAGTAGATATCTTGTATTACATTGATTTAGTATTCATTGTAAGTTTAAACGGATTTATAGTCATTTGGGTATTGTTGTAAAACCTTATTTGTTTTCGCTAGAATTAAACTTTAATGGTCAGCATAGTAACATTGATGTCAAGGAATAGTCTCAAAGACAAAGAGTACAGGCCGTGCCCGTACAAAGCCCATATCCTGTTGGCAAAACGACCAAAACATCTTCACCATTTTTTAACAATACAATGGCCGAGATGCAATGTCTCATCTTTTAACGAAAATTCACTAGAGCAGCTTTAATAGCTCTTTCAATATTTGCCATTGAATATAGTTTAATAGTGGTGTGATTTAAATCACGTTTAAGGTGGCTCGATATAGTTATAACAAGAACCCTGCTCAAGAATCGCGAACTCAAAACCGGGTGACCATTTTTACGCGCAGGTCGCGGAAACTGATTAACAAAATGAAAGAACTTCCAAAATGACCTGACGTGAGCAGTTGCTCGCGCCATATCACGCCATTGCGCGTGTTCTACAGCGTTTTATGTCAACTGACGTCATTCGAATTTTCCATTTTAGAAAAACAATGCGCTATATCTCTTTATTTTGTCTGGTGACCTATGTTCAAATTTTGTATGCTGTATTGCACCGCTAAAAACTTTCATTATACAAAAAATAAAAAAATTCTGTAATGCCAAAAAAAATTTACCGAAGAATATGATATTTTCGCATTTTCCAAAAAAATGGCATTACAGAATTTTTTTATATTTTGCTAATTGTTAGCTTTTCGTCCAAGTAAAATAATGCACAAAAAAAATTTGGGGGTCACCATGCTTTTTTTCCAACTAAATACGCAATGATAGGCCATTTTGGAGTGAATTTCGTACACGTATATTGTCATAGCAACGAACTATCTGTTATTAAAACTAATATAATTTGAAAGTAGAGTTATCAAAATATATAAAAAACCCAATATCTACTGAATAAATCCTAAAAATGCGTAGTTTGAACATGTCAAAGTGTTAAACACCTGAATTTTTGAAAACTGTATCGAGCCACCTTAAGCGTATAAAAAAACTATTTTGTATACTATATTCTGATGAAATCTGCATGTTCAAACAAATATATATCGATTGTGAGCGTGTGCCCGCGCGCATTTAGTAAGCGGTAAGCGGAATAAACAAGAGCAATAAAAGCGCATGTGCCATTTATCTCATTTTGGAGAAAATAAATTTGATTTCCCCAGAGTCATGCCACTACATAACCCGCGAAAATAGGCATACTCTGGGAGCGAGATTGTTAGACAGTAGTTAAAACTGCTAATAATAGTATAATCTAATTAGCACTAACCAATCAAAAGACAGATAATTCAGGGTGCGATAATTCGCGTACTTACGTACCGGGGGTGCGCCAATATTACGGTCTGGTACAGGTGTTAGTAAACAGCGTAATGGCGTAATGAGAAACAGCGTAACGGCGTAAAAATTCTTGATTTTCAAAGCTATACTTTTTAAATCTCTTTTGCGATGTTTTCTAAGCTAATTTGTGGGCAAAAGTGTTATCTTACATTGTAAAGTACAGGGGCTGGTTATTCAAAAGTTGTTCAGCTTAATCCTAAGTTAATAAACTAATTCTTCAAACTTGAAAGTAATCTTCCCAACAGCTTGCTTTTAAACATGGAAATGTTTCTCTAGAAATTTTGTCTGGATCAACAGATGTTTTTATTTTCTAATGTTTTGAAATAAACAGACGTGCAGAAATACACAAACCGAAACAGCAGGTTAAATTTGAAGGCAAAGTTAGCGCAGCTTTGCACAACTGGCCCCAGAATTGTAACGCCTTATGAAAATTTCTTTCACCGAAGTAGCACTAGTGAATATTGTCCAGCGGGCTCACTTGCTACTAATCTTGGCGCCAAGTCGGTTATTAAAACAGCATGATATAGTTCGTCTTACGGGTAAAAATAAATGGTCCTTTCCCTTACTTTAATTACTAGTTAACATAACGGAATTGTACAATGTTGACTGTTGATCTAATACGTTACACGTGAGTTGTAAATGAGAAGTTCTACAATTTCATAGAACGATCTAGTTGATCTATAGTTGACATATAAGCAATCAACTTGAGTTTGAATTTACCATTATTCCAAGTTCGTTTCATTCTACTTTGTATTCCTTAATGTTTTCATCTAGAGCTGTACCTGAGGAAAATTATCTCTGTGCGTATTAAAAGGCGTTACAATGGAAAACTTTAGAGTATAGCTTGAAAATCAAAAATTTTTACGCCATTTCTCATTACGCTGTTTACTAACACCCGTCTGGTACTACTTTCACCCAAGTACCACGTAGGTACGCGGTATTGTTGCTATCTGCGATAGTTACTTTTTGCTGGTACCATTAGTAGGTCTAACATATGTTTAACATGTCTTGGCATAAACTGGTGCACTGACATTGGACTGATGGCACTAAGAAATGTTGGAGCGATTGCATGGTTGTATTCATGCAATTGTGCTTCTTGTTCTAACTCGCAGCTTGACTATACCCTTCAGAAACCTGTACTTTAAACAGCACCATTTCCTGCGTTCTTACATCACCTTTTTTATTAATTCAGTCATTGAAAAATACATGTTTTTTACTTAAGAGTATTTTTTATCAAAATGCTGTCATGTGTGATTGTTCAAATGCTTTTTGGAAACCTTGTAGTATTGAGTTGACAAATTGATCAAAATTGTCAGATTAATTATCTAACTTGAATATTATACGATTTACTCAGCCGTTACAGTATCTGATTTGTATTTGTATATAACTGACATGCTCCCACTACTGGTACAATGCGATGTAATGTATCACACTTGTAGACGCATCAACACATATTAGGTTATAGCTTCACATGAACCAACACTAACAATGAGCTATAGAAACCAAAGTGCATCAGAATTCAAGGCTTAGTGACGATCATTTTCTGATTCTCTATCGCCAACGCAATGATTCAGTCACGCAACCCCACTTGTGGTCTCTTGGTCACCATGCCGCTTAGCTTGCCTTTCAAACTGGGAGACCCGGGTTCAATCCTTGGTCGGGCCTCTACTTAAGGTCTTAAAATAATTGAGGAGAAAGAGCTACCTTTACTTTGACATGAGTTATGGTTAGCCTTTCTCGTCTTCTCAGATAAGGACGTTAAGTCGTAGGTACCTCGGATCCCCTATAAATTGGGAAATCTGCTCACCAATGAATGAGAAACCCAATAAACTAAATTATTATGCATTGTGTGGATATGTTTGTTGACATATTGATATTTATCATATCATTGTGTAGCAAAACTAAAGATAGCTTATAGCAATATAGTTAATTTTAGATGTTATATGTAAACAACGAGTTTGAGTGTTTCATCAGGGGATCCAAACACGAGAAAACTGTATGAAACAACATCTCAAACAAAAGCATTTCATTGGCTTATATATATTATTATATATATAGTATATTGTTGTGTTTTGACTTGAATTTGTAATTAGGATCTCAGTTATTAGATGAAAACCGTTTTTCATCTAACAACAGTGATGGTATATGATTTTTAGCGTGTTTCCTGCGGTATCCAACCTCGATCATGTGACGAATTAGGGTGAGTTCATTCGCTAATTTGCTCATGAATTATTAATGAGTTTGAGATGTATATGTACTTTTGAACATATGCATGAACGATTCATCAAAACCATTTTCCAACACTAAATTTCCTGATTTCGTTACACAAAATTATAAACATAATTTCGCACACATGCATGAGTTATGTTAACTTTCGTACCCTGTTTTCCCAAAATACTGCGCAACTCACAAGTTTATGATCAGTTTATATCCAGCAAAGTGCAGTCATTTAGCCAATCAAATGGCAGATTGACTGGTTTACAGGCCGGGTACTTTCATTGAAACAATTCTGACAATCTATCACGAGAACAGTTTAGAGGTGATGTTGTTATCCAGCATAAATAAATGCAAATAAAGTTAGTTTAGTTTATGTTTCCTCTTGTAGTAACACTGGGTCAGTAAGAGATGAGCCTATGTGGACTCCTAAGGTGAACAGCTTAGAACTGATGGAGATTACAAACAGGGGGTGAACTTACTTCCAGACATATATAGCATCGAATGTAAATTCCTTTGCGGTTCTCTTTGTTTCGGAGAATTCTTTAGTGAAACGCTTCGTGTCCATTTCATAAACTCTAAGATAAAGTACAACCATGCAATTAATTAATAGACCTTTCTCATATGACATCAAACGTGGATAAACACGCTCGCTCCCACTTTTCCCATAAAGGCAATGCGACATGGAATAATATTTAACAACAATTCGTAAAAAATGCAACTACAGACCCTTTCGAAAGGTGCAACACTCTAACCAACTGAACTATAGAGTCAATATTAGGGATGAGCCGATCAACAAAAATCAAATTTACCAAACCGATAAATTCCGACCCGATTTACCACCCAGTCAGCCAGTTTATCGGCGGTTATCGATGTTTGGACACTTTCCCAACATTCAAATTGGGACAAAATGCTAGCAAAACATATTAACAACAGTTAACAGAGCAGTAATAGAAATGTCATTATGATAATTGAATTCACTCAATTTAGCAATCAATTTATTTTGGGAAAGTGTCCTTTCCTTTGTGGAAGAGAATCTGTCTGACAAACCGACACAGTTTTTCTTGTCAAAGAAAAGAAAATATCACAAGTAAAATCCTGGAGCAGGTTGTATAAAAAGCCGTTCTCGAATAGTTTTAGTAATTTTATACACTTTCTCAAAAAAACAAAAAGGAACCTAATTATGCCTTAAGGCATGTTCTGGACTAACAGTAATGAAGTTAGTTATCAGGAGAACCTTTAAAATTTTGACAACAAATGCCAAAAATGTAGTATTCTAGAAATGTATTACCTGTAATAAAAAATTAATATTTCCCATTTTCGACTCTTGAATTTCGACTTTCGACCCTCGACTTTTGACCCTCGACTTTTGACCCTCGACTTTGACCCTCGACTTTCGACCCTTAACCTCGACTTTCGACCTATGACCCTCGACCTATGACCCTCGAACCTCGACCTATGACCCTCGACCCTCGACACTCGACCATTACCCAAACTCGTTAATAAAGTGCATCGTTAATTTCCTAGGGGGGGGGGGGGGTTGGCCCGGGGGGGGGATGGGCACTGCTGGAATTGAGTGATACATTCAGAGTGATATGCTAGTAGAAGGTATATGGATAGATATCGATATTTTGGCTGTTCGATATCTAGAACTATTTATAGAGTAGGGCTTTTGTAGATCAGCTGGAATTTTTGAACATAAATTTCTATACATTTTTAGACCTAACCAGCAGGTCCTTCATACAAAACACTTTACCCTTCTAGCTTTCTTTCAACAATTTTATACAAAGCAGTGAATGAAGTGAAAGCGCTACATCGAGCACTACTAACAATTTTGTTGTCAAGAATTGATTTGACAATAATTACGAAGTATTTCCACGATAAAAATCGCCTGTATTCGTTGAAAATATACTGCAGATACTTTTCTTTAGCTTTCGCTTTTAAACAAGCCATTTCTCGCGTCGTGCTGGCTTGGAATTCAAAAAGAATCGCTAAAAAGAATGCATTTTCATTTGTAATTTTAACGTTTTCAAGGCCGCCATTTTTTATGCAAAATGATATACTGCTGTACAGAAGAGGCGCTTTTTCACTCGGGGGGGGGTGGGGGGCGTGTGAATTTAAAGTCATGTATTTTGCATTACAAATTTATTTTCTATTTAATTATTTATTTTAAAGAATTTTTTAAAATTCCTACAAGACGCTCAATTTTGTGGTCACTACTGCACATTAATATTTCCAGAGCTGTACAAATTTATTTATAACTATTCATTTTGTGTAGAACTTGGGATCTGTGTGGAAAAATATCTCAACACAACCCCTTTCGAAGTATAAAACAACAAAAAAGTACTTTTTTATTTAGATTCAAGTAAACAAAATCATGTTGGCAGTAAATTATGACTATATGTTCTACATTTTTTTCTTGAAACTTATTTTATTCCACTTCAGAACTTATTTTTAAATTTCACTTATATTCATTACTATTTATACATTCCTCTATCTTTTTTCTCTTATTTATTTTATTAACCAGTTTTAATTCATAACCTAGGAACCTTATATAAAACCACATGGTTTCTAGAAAATTCCTAGCCCTATTCCTGTAAATATTTAACAATTACTCGCCGAAGGCGAAGTGATTACCGGGACGAAGTCGAGGTGAATATTCACCGTAATCACTGAGCCTGGGGCGAATAATTGTTTTAGTATAAATTTTTAATCGGAATAAAACAAAATATCCGAATATCAATTAAATTTCAGAAATGAAACTGTTTTCGGCCGGCGCACTATTAATAGTGTTGCAGACTTGCAGTTTTTCTTGTACGCATACGCTTTCAAAATGGCTTCTTGTGTAGTTGTGTGACTTTATTGCTTTATTACAGAGTTGTTTTTCTCGATTTCTGCTTGGAATATAAACACAATAACGGAATGACTCTTTCACCAGACTTTAATAGAATTAAAAATTAATTTCTTCAGGAAATGGCTGAGGAATTTGGTAAAGTGAAATGTAAAACTATATCGTTCGAAAAAAAGTTTTAATAACACTTTTTACTTTACAAGTTTCGAAAACACAATACAGCGGTCAGAACGCCATACAGCACATTGAAAACATGACATATCGAAAGAAATAGTATCGTATAAATTGGGAAATCTATAGCATACAAAATGAAATGGATTTTAAAGAATACCACAGCAAGGTTTTCCCCAAAAGTCGGGATAGTTTTTGCTATTTGTTTGAAGTGAATGTTTCGGAGTTTTAAATAAGTTTTAAATAAGTTTCAGAACACTCATTTGATATGCAAAATTTATACTAATATCTATTATTGATCGTAAATTGAGGTTCGGATTTTACTTTCGCTACCATTAGCGGATTAACCAATCAGATGCGTTCAATCTACACGCGCAAAAACGCACAAGTTTATATAATAAACCTGCAGCAATCTTTTATTACTTTGAAAGTGACCAAAACTGACAGTTAATTACTGTCGATGCAATGGAAGTGTTGATAAAATATTGCATGAATTCATTTCCTCAGTGAGATCGTTTGCTATTGGTCAATCGGTTCTGAAACGCAATCTAATTGGCTCATCTAAAATATAACAGGAAGTTGAACAATTTGCTATCAAATGAATTGATCAACTTGAGGAAAGGAATTGGTGCAATATTTTATCAACACTTCCATTGCATCTATTGTAATTAATTTGAAAGTCACCAAAACTACACTAATTATAGGTCAAAAATAAACGCAAGATGGCGCAATACTGTTTCTGATCAAAATATTTCTAATACCAAGCAAGATAGAAAATAATTGTAAAGGGTCTTCATAATTATATCGTTCTAAAAGTTCGTTCAAATTATACAAACTTAATTCTTATTGCCATTTCCCTTTAAGTGCAGTGGTGCACACCATGTGCGCGTCCTTCAACAAGTTCAGTTTTCACCAACTTTTGGTAATTATCAGTTTCCCGTTTGCTTTGATCCAGCTCCGTGTAGTCTGGTAAGTTTCTTCCCATTTTGACGCATATGTCTTCGTACGACTCTCTTCTCTTATGAGCTGGTATAACATAATCTGAGTCTTGCTTTACTAGTTTCTGATAGCTACCGTCTTCCGTTGTATTTCTGCCGTTCACATCAAGCTCAGTATAAACAGGATTTTCTGGCGATAATTTGGGCTCTTCACAGTTTTCATTTTGGCATGGTGTTTCGTGTTGTGGTTCCTCTGAAGCCGGTATTACGTATCCACCATCCTCCTTTAAAAGTGCCTGATAATCACCATCGCCTGTCGCCCCCCTTTTCAAGGTATCTGGTCGTTTATTAAGTTCAGTGTGTCCAGAAGCCTGGTGTGCATTTGATGGTACTTCAACCTCTTCGTGATATGATGTCCTGCCTTTAGAAACAAAAGATTATAAACCCTGGTCAAACAGAATGAGATCTGATAAGAGTTGGCCAGTGAGAGTCTGCACGGTAAGAACAACAATTGCTTGAGAGTTGACTGGATATTACAGCACGTAGCGAGAACTCTCATCAACTTTCATCAAAATTTGAGCAAAAACTCTCATGAACTCTACTCAAAATTTGAACTGGCTGAACACTGATGGGAGTTAACTGCATATTACCAAGCGCAACAAAAACTCTCATGAACTCTACTCAAAATTAGAACCAGATCAGCAGTGATGAGAGTTAACTGGATATTACCAAGCGCAACCAAAACCTCATGAAATCTACTAAAAATTAGAACCAACTGAACACTGATGAGAGTTAACTGCATATTACCAAGCGCAACCAAAACCTCATGAAATCTACTCAAAATTAGAACCAACTGAACACTGATGAGAGTTAACTGGATATTACCAAGCACAACAAAAACTCTCATGAACTCTGCACAAAATTTGAACCAGATGAACGCTGATGAGAGTTAACTGGATATTACCAAGCGCAACAAAAACTTTCATGAACTCTACTCAAAATTAGAACCAGATGAACGCTGATGAGAGTTAACTGGATATTACCAAGCGCAACAAAAACTCTGATGAACTCTACTCAAAATTTGATCCAGCTCAAAGTTGATGAGAGTTGATGAGAGTGCACGAGAGTCGACGACAATTGGCGGTAAAACACGAGTGAGAGTTTGAACCTTCATTACCTCTTATCAACTTTCATCTTTGTTCTACAGTGAACACAATTATCAAGATAGGTTTCTTTTCAACCAAGATATTTTACATTTCTTCTTAGAATGAGCAAATATAACACATACATACCAATGCTAGATATTAATATTTGCGAAACTCATTAATAATTCATGAAGAAAACACAAAAGAAATCATAAGCGTGAAGGAGTTTGTATATCTGATACAGAAATATGCTGTATCAGATATACAAACTCCTTCACGCTTATGATCGTATAATAATAATAATAATAATAATAATAATAATAATAATAATAATAATAATAATAATAATAATAATAATAATAATAATAATAATAATAATAATAATAATAATAATAATAATAATAATAATAATAATAATAATAATAATAATAATAATAATAATAATAAAATAATAATAATAAAATAATAATAATAATAATAATAATAGCATTTATTTAAAACGACAATATTACGGCATAGCTAATGTGGTCGTGTGACTAATGCTACACATTATAACTAACCAATAATAAAATGTGGTTAATTTGACTAACTAACAACAGAATCACACTAGTTTGACAGCACAGTGACACTAATATATGATGACGTAATCTAATTCCATACAAGATACTATATCGGGTGACAAAATTTTTTCGAATACAGCAGGTCTGGAGTAGAACCGCATTATTATTAATATCTATAATCTGTGATATCACTGACCTTCAGCTGATATGTCTTCAGACTCGTTTGCATTTGCGGCGACGTCTTCGTAAAACTCTCGATCAACGTTCTGGACAGTTTCGTAAACTGCCTCCTGTTTTTTGATAAGAATGATTATGATTTATTTAATGACGATTACACACAGGGTGTGGTTGCCCAATTTACCCGAGGCAGAGGCTCACGTTATACGTGCTTCCCAGGTTCTTCACAACTAATTTCTAACAGTTGGGGTTTCTTTAGAAACACTGGAGGAACCGGAAGTTCGAGTACATAAAAAATAACTTTACTTATACTAGATGCTGTAGCTCTAACAGTTCTAGAGGTTCAATAAGGCACATCTGTTATTCCTCCAGCGTTATTACAGGAGGAAACCTAAACTAGAACTATATTTAAATTTAATTTGGATAACTCTTTCAGATCGAAACTGTTTCTCCTACAGGTCCAGTAAGAGTTATCTCTTATTGATCCAGTATGTTACGTTACTACAGAAAGAAATTTAAACTAACTTTTTTTATTAATTGGAAAGCGCTATCAGTTCGAAATGGTTCTTCCTAGAAGCCCATATGTAATAATTATTCACTGTGTCACCAACACCATGACCATAAATCATTTAATTACCTCATCAACTGGCAATGGTTCTGGCGAAGTTTCATTCGTCTCCAGTGGAATATTGACAGGAGTTGTTAATTTTGAAGCCCGCTTCCGTCGTTTGTATTTTACCAATAAGACGATAAGCACAATGCTAAGAAATACGCCAGCACCCACTGTTGTCGCTATGATAATGATTCTGCTAGAATCATCCGTTGTTCCCTTGTCTGAACAAAATAAGTTTTAATACTTCATTGTATAGGGTAAATTGAATCCAAATTGATTATGTGAATAAAAAGTATAAAAAAGTTATTTTAGCCTGCTGTTGAAGGTTTGAAAACTCAGTCATTTAAAGTAGAGTTGTGGTTACTCCTCTGCTGTTCTTCGAGGGTTTTCTCCGGGCCGGGTACTCTGGTTTTCAAAAAGTTAACCCTTTTATTCTAACCTGGCCACCTTGGGCAGCCAGAGTCTCCCACATTGGTCATGCTTCCTACAAGCAAGGACGATTAGCCTCCCCCCCCCCCCAACCTCCACCTTTCACTACACAAAACACACCGGACCACAAACAGTATACATAACTTCACCGTACACTACAAAACAACAACATAAAAACTATATACATTAATATGTACAATACATCATTAGGTATAATTTGACAAAAACCGCACTTGCCTTCAGAGCTAGTTTGAGATGGTGAAATTGCAGGTGTAGTGGAAACTGTAAATGTTGTTAAAAACTCATTAACAATTCATGAGGAAAAGACAAAAGAAACTTGTCACCTTTTCACTCACCATTATTATCTATCGAAGTCTGTTTACTAGGTTGATTTTCTAAAATGGTAAAACTACGTTATAAACTATACGTGGCACCGAAGGAGAACTACGAAGAAACACAGCTTTCCAACTCTATTTTGTCAAAGATTGATGGTACTTTGGCCTACATAGCTATTAGTACACACGTGATTTACCTCTCGGAGGACATGAATCCATGACAGAGATATCATCAATTGCAATATTTCCAAAGATACCTTTACCACGTACACCTTCGATTACATACTGCAAGAAAAGTGGAAAAGTGCTGTCGTTTCCGTTAACGGTAGATCAACTTCAAAAATATCTATCACTTGAACAAGCAGGTATTTCTAATTCTATACCCACCTAACCACCATCTGCTGTCTTTGGATTCAGTTATGTTTGGTGCTCACTGATCAACATGCTCACCTGATATGACGCCGTTTGATTGTTCACAGCCACTTGTGCTTGATACCATTTGTCACCCTGGTCTCCAGAACGACTCCACACTGAATCCATCTTACCCCCAGATTTTACGTAGACCTGAAATTATACATATATATTTATCAGTGTATGAATGTGTTTCAGTTCACGATAGAAGAGCCTGAAATAGCAGTCGGACATTTCCCGACCAAATTACAGTTTTGCTGATCAAATGCCAAATTGGCCAGACATTTTTCCGAACACAAAATAGCAATCAGTTTTCATAAAAGAATTAGAACTCATTATTTGAGTGATTAACGGCTTTTGACCGTGGTCATTAACATGTGACAAGGCCAACGCAAAAGCTAAATTTTAAATAATATCTAAACAAAGCACTGTAGATTTACTACGTCTTCAACGTGACAACCCTGACTTTTTTTCCCGATTCCTTAATAAATGTCGCAACGATGTGAAAATTAAATCATAACCACTTGCTTTCATGTACATTTTAGGTAACCATGAGTGATGTGCCCACGCATCAGGAATTTCCGCACTGAGCTAATCGTCTAAGTTGTCGAATGTTTGTCAATGTCGAATGTTGTCTGTAAATATTAGTGATATGCATATCATAATCCTACGCGTACAGACAAGAATTGCTTGTACGTTGCCCCTAAATCGAAAATAAAAAATCGGACACCGTCAATCAATGAGAAATATCGTTTAAAATCATCGTGTCAAATTTTATGACGATTGGACTCAAAATGAAGGAGCCTTAAGCCCATTTTCCACTAGGCGAATTTGCTCGCGCGAAGCGAAAAACAAATCTTGGCAATGTGATTGGTCAGCGAAATAATTCGCCGCCAAAAATTTAGACAGTTCCTACTTTTTTACTGTTCGCGCGAAAAAATTCGCCTAATGGAAAATGGGCTTTAGGTTTTTTGGAAGAGCGTCCCCCCAACAACAACGACAACGACAACGACAGTAACAACATCAACAACAGTAACAGCAACAACAACAATAACAACAACAACAACAACAACAACAGTAACAGCAACAATAACAACAAAATTAGCAGCGATTGGGGACCAGTTCCTGGTCCAAAAAGAAATACCTGAAGTTTATCCACTTCAGGGCCGTACATGTGATAAAAAAAGAGGAGACAAGATTTGGCTTCTGTTGTCGATGGCGAGATCAATCGAGCTGTGTCGTTCGGTTGCCCTGGTGACGCGGTATCGATGTAGAAATACCAACCAGATGCTAAAATGAGAAACGTGATGTTGGTTAAGCCTGAAAAGCTGGAGAGACTAGATTTAAGGGAGCCTGCAGGAAAGTGAAGCTAAGTGTACAGATTTAGCGGCACAGTGTTTGGTGCATGTTGACATTCTTTCTGCAATATGCAGGTGTTGGATTTTAATTTCCCTTAGTTCCAATGTGGGAAGAGTGCTTCTGTTTGACCATGAATCACAAAAACATTATCCATGGTTTGACTCTACCAAACAGCGCAGGTTTTCTCGGGTACTCGGTAGTAACACTGAACAAATAAGGAACGGTCCTTACCGGATTTCTACAAACAACAGTTTATATATTATTTAAAAATATATAAAGTTAGTTAATTTTAAAAGTATGTGACTCACAACCACTTTCCTTTGGCATGTAAATGGCATACAGATTGCCATCACCTTTTACTTTTCCCTTTGACAATTCACATGAGATAGTCCAGTTATATAAAGCACGGAGAGATACTTACTGGGCACAAATTCGAAGAAGTTTGGTCGTTCATCACAGACCGAGTCAAGCACGAGCTTTATACCTCTCTGCCGATTTGACCCAGTTTCAGGCTTAAGACACATTTTCTTTTTGTACTGCAATGATCCTTGGGCAGTCCAACTCCACGTGTCTGTCGCATTACAACTGTTGAAAACACCCACCTTGAAACAAAGAGGCAGGTAAATATGTAGCTAGGTATAGGTTAGGTTAGGTTAGGTTACGTTACGTTACGTTACGTTACGTAGAGTATCCCGTGAAAATAAAGTTAGTAGAGATCCATCATGTCTGCATGTCTGTTCTCGTTCAGCGTTAACACATTGTAACAAGAAATATATCTCAACAATTTTTACCAACCCGCACTCCATCAATCACTGGGCCAGTAGGCTTCACGCACATGCCATATCTAGTAAGCATCAGTTTCCCATTCGGCCAGAGCCGGAACTCCTGGAAGCCTTTTCCGCATCCTATGTATGACACAAGGAATTGTCCCTCTTTTGGTCTATTGTAACCGCTCAAGACAATATATAAAATACACGTGCCTCCGCTATGTTGTATGGAGCCTGGACCTTGCTTCTTGTTTGTTAGAGTGACTGGAATAAAATATATGAAATATGAGGACTTCAAAGTAGGGATGTTATCTCAAAATTTATCTTTACCTAACTTTGTCTACATGATGGAAATTTTATGTACTATTTAAAACATGAGCAGCCGTGTTTTATCAGATATAAAGATACGAGGCGAAGCCGAGTATCTTTAGGTCTGATAAAACACACACTGCGAATGTTTTAAATTGCTTCAAAAACGATCAATCTGGTAAGTCAATTTGCGAAGTAATTTTCAAAAATACGTTGTGTAAGTCGAGAAATCACAGAAATAAAAAATACGTTGTGTAAGTTGAGTACATCACATATAAAGATACGACACGCTTATGATTTTTCTAATTGTGTTTTCCTCATGAATTATTAATGAGTTTTAGCAATGACGGTGTGTGTGTTATGTTGGTGATGGTAAAAGTGGTGGTCATGATTTATTTTATTTTATTTAAAAATATTTTATTTATATTAAAATATTTAACAACCGTAGCCCTATCAGTTATAGTTAAAAACTGTTTTCCAAGGGGCCGTTCACACAAGTTACATCAATGAATCTAAATATATATATATATATACACACAAAAGAAACTTAAACTACAAACTACTACTAATTACTATAATGACTATTTACAAGAATATTTTAATGATTTCAAAATATACATATGGAAACTAATCTGCGCCCCCAACAATAGCTCTAAACCTCTTTATGCCCATTGTCTTTCTCTTAAGATCATTTGTGAGATCATTCCAACATTTTGCACCAGAGTAACTAATGCTTTTTTTCAAGAAATTTGTATTTGGCTTATCTAACGTAAAGTTGTTTAAATTGCTTCTTAAAGAGTAATTTTGATTATCACAAATATTAAACAAATTTCCTATTGAATCAGGTGCGATCCTATTTTTGACCTTGTACATTAATAATGCTTTTTTGTTACCTCTGCGCTCTTCCAACGTTTCCCAGTTGAGTTGGCGCCGTAACTCCTTTGAAGGAACATCGTAACTGCTCCCTGTTAAAATTCTAGCCGCTCTATTTTGCATTTTTTGTAGTTTCTGTATGTTATAGTTAGCTGCATTATCCCATACCATGCTACAGTAATCGAAATATGGGAGTGTTAAGCTGTTGTATATAGTTTGCAAGACAGATTGGGTTACAAACGATTTGATCCTTCTCATTATTCCTAAACCTTTCGAAACTTTAGCATTGATTTCATTTATATGGTGTTTCCACATTAATTTGTCATCGATTATAACTCCAAGTGTTTTACATCTATTAATTTTCTGTACAGGTTCATTACCTACTGTATGCTTATTATTGGTTCTTCTTGAATGTTTAGTATTTTTTGGCTTGAACCAATAATCATGTACTCTGTTTTATTGTAACTAAGAGTTAATTTATTTGCGAGAAGCCAATGGTGTACTTTTTCTAAATTGTTATTCAAATTATTTTGGAGTTGTTGTACTGTCTGACCGGTTGCTGTTATATTTGTATCATCGGCAAACATGCTTGCACTATAGCACTATCTAGACAATTAGGTAAGTCGATGACATAGATAAGAAATAGAAGGGGTCCTAAATTGGAGCCTTGTGGCACACCAGTTTTAATTGGTTTCATTTCTGAAAATATGTTGTTAGCTTTGCAAGTTTGCTTTCTATTGGAGAGATACGACTTAAACCAATTTAATGTTATACCACGAATTCCATACATTGCTAATTTGTTTAGTAAGATTAATTTGATGATCTACACAATCAAATGCCTTTTTTAAATCCAGAAATAAAACGCCGTTCAGAAGTCCATTGTCCATATTGCAATACCATCAATTTGTAACTGTAAGTAAGGACGTTTCGGTTGAATGATTTTTCCTAAAGCCTGATTGCTGATTTGCAATTATGTTGTTACCATCAAGATAACTACACAATTGATCAAATGCAATTTTCTCCAAAACTTTCGCTATAACTGATAGTACTGAAATTGGTCTATAGTTACCACAACAGGACCTATCATCTTTCTTAAAAATTGGCGACAGCACCGCTATTTTTAGATCATCAGGAAAAATTCCAGATACAATAGATCCGTTAAAAATTATTGTTAGTGATCTACTGGTTACTCCAGCAGCATCTTTAATTAATTTTGGTGGTATTTGGTCATAACCAGTCGATTTAGTTGGTTTAACATTGGAAAGATATTTATAAACTTCAATTTCAGTTACGGAGTGCAGCTTGCAAAATGTTGCAAAAATAGTCATTTAAGACATTTGTAATTTCTTTAGCATCGGTAAACTTCCATTCTCAGTTTTAATTTCGGAGATAGTTGTTGTTTTTGATTTCTTGTTAATCAATTTATTAATAGTTTTCCACATTTCTTGTGGGTTTTTGGTGGTTGTTTCAAAACAGTGTATGAAGTGTTTGGCTTTGGCGTTTAATATTTTAGTTACCTCGTTCCTAGATTTTTTGTATGCTTGGTGCATATTTAGAGAATATGTCTTGTTAGCCAAGGTCTATATTCACTTCGTACCCTCCGAGTGATTGGTGGAGCATGCATATCAGCTACAAATAAAAACTTGTTTTTCCAATCCATATATATACAATTAATGTCATCAGACTGATGGTCAAAATCTATACGAAATATTTGTGATAAATCTGCAATAAAATTGTCTTTATTGTAGCCTTTGTATTTTCTAGTATTAACAACTTTTGGCACACCACGAGGGATCGATAATTTTCTTGTTATACATATCAAACTATGATCACTAATTCCTATATTGTGTACCTCCGATCGAACAATAATTTCAGCTTTATTTGTAAGTACGCTAAATCGATAAGTGTACTAGTGTTTTCAGTTACTCGTGTTGGTTCTTTAATAAGTTGCTCAAATTGATATAATTCCATCATATCTTTTAATTTATCTGTATGTGATTGCATGCCTTGTTTAGACCAGTCACAATTAAAATCACCTATGCAAATCACTTCTACATTTTCTGCATCTATTTTTTCTAAAACGTTCTCATAATCGTCAAAAAGCTCAGCTTTTGAACTAGGTGGTCTATACCAGGCATTAACGAGAAAGGATTTTGCTTTAGGTTTCATGACTTCTACTGTGACCATCTCAAGGCTTTCTATCATTAACTCATTTCTTAGTTTATAGTTAATTGTGTTTCGTATGTAAAGTAATACCCCTCCTCCATGTCTATTTCTGTCTTTGCGTATAATTTCATAACCGTCAATCAAAACTTTATTTTCAGCTATAGTCTCATCCAACATTGTCTCTTTAAGCAAATTATATCAAATTGTTTTTTTCTTAAAAATATTCGGAATTCATCAATGTGTTTAATAATTAGGTTTCTAATGTTTAAATGAGCTATTTTAAATCCCTTAACACTTTGTATTTCTTTTTGAATGCATTCATAATTTATTCTGGTTGAAGAATTTTGCATGCTATCTTGATTATTACGATTTTTTTCAAAACCGGAATACAACATGCTCTCATAGTTATTTTCTTTTAAATCTTGGTCAAAATTTAGCATGCCTTCATAGATTGTTTTCCCATCTGAAACAGAATGAAGCATGCTTTCCTGATTATCATGTTTCTCTGAATAAATCATACTGTTATTCTTAGAACTATCCTTGGGGGTTTCTAGACATCAATTATTTATAAAATGAATAATGTTCTTGGCAAGGGCTGCAGTTCCCATTTTATTTAAATGCAGTCCATAATGATTTAAGAGGGTGTCCATGAAAGAACCATGCAAGTGGTGATAAACGTCAACTCACAGAATTTCCTCAAATTTGGCACATATTTAGAGGATATTAAGTATCTGATCTGATAAAAGTTTGAGGTAAAAATATTGCACGGTAACGGAATTATCCACCCCCCATGACTTTGGGTCGTTTTTGGCTCCAAAAATGCCCTTTGCTAAGTAATATTTAGTACATTATAAAATTATAAAAACACACTAAAATGAAATGATATTTCGGCTGCTAAACTAAAAGACACACGGCTTTCATAATATGTGATTGTTTATGCCATCCACCAGGGCTGGTTGTCATAGCAACACCAAAAATAAGAGACAGTTCTTCCATTTTTCGTTAAATTTTTTTTGGACCATTTTGAGAGCAAATATCTCCGTTGAACAACTTGATTGAAGTATAATTGACACACAGTTATTAAAAGCTATCCATACACTTGGTTAAACAACAACAAAATTTGGGGATATTTAATACATTTCTCACGGCCAGGCAACAAATTTACCCTATATTGAACATTTGCATAATGTTAAAAAAAAATCATGACACAGAAAAAACTTCTTAACTGTAAAGTCCGTATAAAGTTACTCATCAGACATGCAAATAATGTCATTATACAACATTGAATTATCTGACAAAAGAATAATGAGCAAGTTTTACAAGCAGGAATAGAAGAAAAATTGAATAATATATTAATGTATCGTGCACTGACTGAAAAATAGATTTCTAACAGGAAAAACGTGAAAATAATACTCACATAGAAGATTTGTTCTGATACTTGAAGCAGTGTGAGGGTAGTTTATATACTACCTAAAGTCCTAATACTACAACAGCCGTTTCGATGTATTTTGAAATATATATTATATAATTGCTATATTACATATCTTTTCCAATGCTTTCCTTTTGCTATTTATAAACTAATACTGATAATTTTGATTGAAATAAAGGAGAAAGGGTTATCTCAAGGCAAGCAAAATACTTTTGAAGTCCGCCATCTTGGAAAATATTTTCTTGGTCAGCGGGTTTCCTCACGATAGTTGGGTATATCCTTCGTGTGACCCCTATTATTATGTATCAGGGCTGATACCTGACCCCCACCCTAACCCCGCCTCTAACCTCTAACCCCGCGTTATATAAATATATTAATTACGTGCAACATAATTGTTTTAATTCTTAATTTTTTTATTCTGTACGTTGGTTCTATGTTTTGAAACTGCATCTTAAAGGGCCCTACAGTCATTATTTAGTCGAAAAGCCACCTTAAGTATTGTTTACATTTTTTGTTATTGTCGCTACTTGACATGCGCACCACGGCATGCATGCGTCTTCCGGTGTGCGGAAGTACTCATACTCATGGATACTGCATGTAAGATACAGCCAAACGAATCTTCGTGGAGTCCCTTACTTAAGGTGGCTTTTCGACTAAAAAATGACTGTAGGGCCCCTTTAATGAAAGCTTAATAACTTGGTCAAAAAATTGGGATAAGAACTCTGTTTTATGTATATTCTATTTTAAACTAGTGAATGTCAAGAGCCAAAAGTAAATCATGTGATCATCCATTGCAAATACGTTGTTACAATTCCACTTCTTCTCTTACACAATCAAGCAAAGAATATCGTCTTATCTCTTCTTCAATCATTTCGACTTCTTCGTTTTGTTCTCCTTCGTTATCATCAATTAAGATACCTTTCCTTTGTAGGGCACTTAGACGGGAGAAGTAGCTCTTCACTTGCTGCACTGATAACCATTCAGACCTATCAAAAACTTTCTTCTTTCCATTTCTCATACATCTTATTCGAGCTGCCACTTCCTTTGGGTCTGCCTCTATTCCACTTTTCTTCCCATCAATGAATGTTCTCAGGAGTAAATCTTGTACCCAGGGACGCCGGAACGATAATAGGGCAAAGGGGGGCGGACGCACACCAAGGGCACCTTTACTGAAAAAATTTTTTTCACTGCAAAATTTTTTTTGCGACCTCCCCCCCCCGTCGCCAAAAAAATTTCGGTCAGTGTACCATTTTAGGGGTCAAAAAATTTTTCCGGACATACAAAAATTTTCCGTGAAGCCAAAAATTTTTCCGGATATCTTAAATTTTCGCCATTTCTTCAAAATATTTTTCTAAATTCCAAAAATTTCCCAAAATTTTTATAAATAGAAACTATAAATTACCTGAATCTCGTGATTTTCCTACAAAAAGCATCGTTGGAAATTGGATTTATCACGTATTATTTTACAACTAAAAGGGCACTTCTGCCCCCCCCCTGCCCCCCCCCTAGCAAAAGGCAAGGGGGGCAGCCGCCCCACCCTGCCCCCCCAGTTCCGGCGTCCCTGCTTGTACCTTACCGGTTGACATTTTCAATGCCCACCCAATTTTAACAGCTACAGAAGATTGATCTGCTTCACCTGTTTCCTCTTTTAACTCGCCTGTAGAGTGTTTATTTGTTTCAGTATGAATACCAACGGTAGTACACTTTGATGCCCACTTTTGCTTTACAACATCGTACGCGCTTTCCGTCTGTAAACGGTACAAGTGTTTACCAACATCGAGATGCCTTTCAAGTGCGCCATTAGAAACAAATACTTCGACACAAGAAACGTCTGAACAATTGAATCCCTTCGATGTATGCTGGGTCGGAACATCATCTTTATCGCGCTTTTCTTGGCACTGCTTCACAGTTGTTTTCTTGAGCAAAGCCTTATCATTTTCCGGGATAGTGAACGCTTCTTGTGATATTAAACCTGTTGCTCCTTGAGTACATGCCATCTGCTTAATATCTGCTTTCTTGATCAACGTTCCTTTGCCAATTTTGTACGCCTTCCACACTTTAATTGCCGATTTCAGAAATTCAAAGTTGTAGAACAGTGTTATTGCTGTCCACTTGTGCTTTGCGATTTGCTGCTTGGTTCTGTCGATGCAAACCACCGAAGTTCTGCACCCTTTGACGCCGCCGTAGGAATCAAGAGCTTTCTTCATATCAGATGCAGTGTTGATGTTGTTCCCTTCATTTAAAAAACGGCATATGTGGCTTTTCGCGCATGCTATTCGTCTGTCACAGATATCTTTTCCAGATTGTGCATCACTGAAGTCGTACCGCCTAATTTCAATCCCAGTTCGTTTGGAAATCCCCGGAATAGAAAGCATTAACGGAGCACAGTGATAACATCCTGCATTATCGGATCTAAGAAACGCTTCAGAGATTTTGGGATAGCTTTCTTTTAAATTTGACAAGACATCTTCGATAATCGATGCCACTGAGAACCAATCTTGCGTGCAATTGTCAAACAAATGGAAAGATGTTTTGACCTATTCTTACAAAGAAAAAATATTTAAACTCTAATTTTCTCGTGTGTCAAACTGATGAAACTCTGTTGCCAACTAAGCTCTGTGCAAATTGAAAACACAAAAACAGGACATACTTATACCTCAACATCTTCATCTGGTTTCTTGAATATTGCGGCACAAACATGCCATGGACGTCCTTTCTTCCCAAACCATTCGGACTGTGTTCCTCTATAACTTACAGGCAAAAATTTCATTGCCCAGTCCATAATACTTAGCACTTGATTGGGCTTTATTTCTTCAAGAATAATGTTCTTTGCTGTATCCTGGTGTACAGTTCGCAATATGTGTTCTTTCCAAAACTGAATCTTTTGGACAGCGGCATCTAAGTCATGCACTGTCTCCTCTTTGGTTTCTTCTCTTTAAAGACAAATCCGTACTCAAACAATCAACTAACCATGATAATTGTAAAATATGCAAATAATAATTTACAACCCCATGCTTTAAACTATTTCGCCAGTGAAAAATGTTCACGTAAAAGGGTAGTAACCTCATTGTTACATTCTTTGATGATACAGCAGTTCTTATTGCAGACAATGCGTCTTTTGACATGTCACAGCGATCGCATGACATGTTGTGCTTGTGAAAGCATTTCTTCTTGAATTCCAACGTAGAATCCGATAGAGCATATGTGCGACAATGATTTGCACATTGGTTTTCAAGACTGATATGTATCTTGAAATCTGACTTCAGGTAGTGCCTGATTTGACACAGGCTTTCTTGAGTTTCTTTAACCCACGATGCTGTCATACCTTAGATAAGAAATAGAATTTGCTTATGTTTCAAGTCTTAAACCTCTTCTGCATCTACCTCTGTTTTCCTACTTCTTTCTTTTGATCGCCCCCCCCTAATTTCTTCATTATTGTATTTTGGTTTCTTTCTTTGTTTCTTCCTTGTTCCTCTTGCAGATCCTTCTTGATTGTGTATCTAATTTTCTGTCTATTGCTTGTTTGTTAATTTTTTATGCGTTTTTTTTTGTGTATTGGAGTATTTTTAGTTTTCTCTCTTTCCTTCCCGCTCCCCTTCTCTCACTATATCTTTTTAATTTCATCTCAATCAAATCACATTAAAGTAGTTTTCATTTACCGTGTTTTCCCAGCGTAATGACGATTTCTTTTAATGATTCAATTGCAGAGCTTCCTTAAGTTGATGCAGCACAGGCCTTTTAAAGAGAAAGAAAATTTTTTTCAAATAATATTCACAGAAAAACAAAAGAAGGCGAGAGAAAAAAGAAAGATGAACAATATTTTTGTGTAAATACCTTTAAAATACTGAATAAAGTTGACCTCCCTAAGTATTCAAAATCGTTTTTCTTTGCAAGTTGCAATATAAAGGTCTACTAATCTCGAAGATGTAACTGTTCTTAAGACGTTTGGAATTTCCATTGTTGTTCCATTCGAGAGTTTTAGAGTCCTAGTGCCGAATGCAACATCTTGTAGAAAATGTGGTTGAGAGATGAAATCAATAAAATGATCAACTTTTGCTGGATTCAAACGTGTTCGATGTGTTTTAGGTATCTCTTTCGCCGTTCCTGCTCCATAAAGTGCTGCATGTTTTCTGGCTTCGTCTATTCGCCACGTAGTTATTCCTGGCATCATTTGCTTGAGTTGTGATTTTGAGTAATCTTGGGAAAATATTGAGAGGATTTCCAAACGAGTGGTCCTCGAACTTGTGTCTTGGTACAAGGTTACAAGCTCTGGACAACTTCATTCTCGGGAGCAACTGTATTTCGTTCAAATTTCTCGCTGGAAATTTTCTCAAAGAGTTCATTAGACTGACTCGGTGCGATGCATTCTAAGGTAGCAATACAAGTTTGTAATGATTTCCTTTTGTAATATCGAGCGGTACTTTGCGAGACGTCTCTAATTGTGGAACGGAGTTGTGCTCTGATAGGACTCACATCTCGTCCATGAACGCTTCTGATCAAGTTGTTTACAGAAACAAGTTGGTGACCTTCCTGAGGTGTAAGGAAATATTCTGGTCCACTGTCAAGGCTGATAACCGAGTCATCGTTAGACTGAAAACCAAATTGTAACTTAAAACAACATTGATTCCGAAATTGTTTATGTATCTTTGATATGTTCATATAGTGTATACAGAGCCGTCAGAGCATGCAAATGAGTTAATGGATAAACCAACTGTTCTTTTGATCGATCATAATTCACTAATAAATTTCTAAATATATCAATGAAACCTTTTTGTAGTTTTCCACATCCATAGTCATTGTGTTTGCTGAATAAGATTCTTCCCATTTTTCTTCTTTAAATGCCTGAACATGAAAATAACCACAATTTCGTTTCCTTTTAATAGTAAAACTATTGGTAATGCTTTGTTAAGCTTGAATTTGCTAGTGGCTGTGGTCGCAGATCCGTACTGCAGCTTGCTTGGCGGCGCATCATCACTTATTCCCTCCCCCCTGAAAATCCGTCTATGCCTATGGACCAGGTCCAGTCTTGAATATGAATGTTACTTTGTAAAAGTAAGAAACTGCTGTATTTGTTTATTCGAAACACGTTACCTCCTCGCCTGTATCCAGTGTTGATCCTTCGACCTTCTTATAACTTCTTCTTTATGCTTTTCTCTGCATAGTCTGCATATACCTATTATGTGAATGCATAAGATCTTATGGTGTTTATTATTAATCAAAATTATTTAATTACGAATATCATTATAAAACCTATATTCCTAAACTGTTGAAAATATATCTTTTAGTCTTTAGACCACAAAATATTAGTTAGTAAGAGTGCTGGTGTTAGTAAGTTAGATGTCGAGCACTTGTTGCTATTGGTAAACTACTGGAAGTTCACAGGGAGATAATTATGTTCTTTTAGACTTTAGTAAAAATTACGTTTTTACCGCGTATCGAACCAGACTCCAGAGCATACGGCACGTAGTAGTTGGAATCTCTACCACTAGAGCGCCAATCCCAAGGACTGCTGTGAGCGTAACCGAAATAAACACTATTTATATTTTTCTTTAATCTATCTTTCTTTTCGTACTTCGCATGTCCTAACAATCATGCATGTAATTATAACCAGGTTGGATTCCCTCACTTCCTTATGAGTTATGGCGTTCAAGCTGCACCATCCTGGACTTAGTGAGAACTATCAACAATTCTTTGAATTCATTTTACCCGTGCAATTATATGCTGCAAAAATTAATAATTATAATTTATATTAATTTACGACAAATTGAAAAGATCACTTACCAGAACCAACTGAAACAAGCCTTTCCCAAATGTCATTAATTTCCATTGACATTTTCTTTGTCACACGCCTCTCTGGTTTTGCCTTTGAGGATCCGTGAAGAGGGTGTGAGCACCCACGTTTTGGGCGCCATGAAAGACCAAGATTCTCTCTGTGTCGTGGACATACTGTTAACCCCTCTCCGTTGCTACCAAATATGCCCGTTCTTAATAGAATAAGATCGCCTTTTGATGCTACTGCTTGTCCACATAAGTTTAAACGCCGGAGATGCACTTGTATATCTCTTTTACATGCTAATATTGGCATACACTCCTTCATAGAAGGGTACCTCGAGCAAAGACCACAATCAGTTTCAAGCCTTTGCCCAATTGAACATTTAACAACCTTTGGTGTTCCTGGTAGCACGTTTTTCTTTCTTTGTAAACTACATTTCTGTTTTCCTATATATATTGACGAAAAAGTGAAGTTTACAACTCGCGAGGAAAGCCGCTGACCGGGAATATATTTTTCCAATATGGCGGCCCCTTGTTTTGATTTGTTCATTTCAACAAATGGCAGTTCTTTTAAAGTAGTTTGCTTGCCTTGAGATAACCATTTCTTTTTTATTTCAACCACAGTTATCAGTATTAGTTTAATAGCAAAGGAAAACATTGGCAAAGATATGTAAATATAAAAATTATGTATTTCAAAATACATCAGAAAGGCTGTTATAGACATGTAGTATATAGGTAGTATAAATGGTCATAAAACTACCCTCGCACTGCTTCGAGTATCAGAACAAATCTTCTATGTGAGTATTAGTTTTACGTTTTTCATGTTTTAAATCTATTTTTATAACGAATATCATATTTATATTGTTTTTACTCGCCTCTGTTATCATGTGCAAGATACATTAATGTATTATTCAATTTCTTCTATTCCTGCTTGTAAAACTTGCTCATTATTCTTTTGTCAGATAATTCAATGTTGTTTAATGACATTATTTGCATGTCTGATGAGTAATTGTATACGGACTTTACAGTTAAGCACTTTGTTCTGTGTTATGATTTTTTTTAACATTATGCAAATGTTTAACATAGGGTATATTTGTTGCCTGGCCATGAGAAATGTATTAAATATCCCCAAATTTTTGTTGCTGTTTAACCAAGTGTATGGATATATAGCTTTTAATGACTGTGTGTCAATTATACTTCAATCAAGTTGTTCAACGGAGATATTTGCTCTCAAAATGGTCCAAAAAATAATTTAACGAAAAATGGAAAAAAATGTCTCTTATTTTTGGTGTTGCCATGACAACCAGCCCTAGTGGATGGCATAAACAATTACATATTATGAAAGTCGGGTGTCTTTTAGTTTAGCAGCCGAAATATCATTTAATTTTAGTGTGTTTTTATAATTTTATAATGTACTAAATATTACTTAGCAAAGGGCATTTTTGAAGCCGAAAACGACCCAAAATCATGGGGGGTGGATAATTCCGTTATCGTGCAATATTTTTACCTCAAACTTTTATCAGATCAGATACTTAATATCCTCTATATATGTGCCAAATTTGAGCAAATTCTGTGAGTTGACGTTTATCACCACTTGCAGGGTTCTGCATGGTTATTACATGGACACACTCTTAACTACTTAAGTGTTTTGCACCTATATTATTATGTTTAATTAATCCCCAGTTTCTTTGTCTACAACAGTTTGCGAGAATTGTACTTACCTCTCTGATCTTTGGCACCAGGTCAATTTTATCTGTCCGTGTTATTATTTCTGATATGTTAATTCTTGTTGATGGATGCGTTTCCGAAATATCTGTACATAAATTTATTATCTCGTTTGCGACATCACTTGATGATTTAGCCTTCAGATCATTTGTTCCAACATGAATGATTAGATCATCAGGTTTTTTCTTTAAGCATGGTTGTACATGGTGACTGATTGCTTCTACATTTGTACCACTGTAGGTTTCAAATCGAACTTTAGAGCCTCGGACAGATCTTTCCAGTCGCTGAACATCAATGTGCTTTGTCATTGAGTGACTTATTATGACCGTCGTTCTAGACCTCCTGTTTTTCCCGTTTACACGTTGACCAGACATTCCACTTGCTGTCTTTGACTTCTCAGGCTCAATAAATTCACTTGAAGATGCATCACTCTCTGAAGGTTTTGCCACTACATCGCTTAAAACGCTATACCGATTTCTTGTGCACGGCAGGCATTGGCTTACTAGCATAAACTAGACGAATATCGTCGTCAAACGTTTCCTTTTGACCGGTTGCTTTTGTATTACCAGCTTTAGTGTGGTTATTGGCCGCATTCTCAGGTATTTCTGTCTGTAGAATTTTAATGGAAGTTACAAGACTGAGTTTGTCATTTTCTGCCTCTTTTAACTTGGTATTTAGATCTGAAACGATATTATGATAGATTGAACGACTTCTCTTGTAGCTCTCTATTTTCCATCACCACAAACGTTCATTCTGAGATTTTAGAAATGTTATATATTCTGCTTGCCCTTTAATTGATAGCTCGGTCTCTTGCATCGTTTTGAATTCCGTTCGCATACCGATAATTCGTTCTTTTAATTCTGATTCGAGTTGGTTCATTCTTCTCTCGAGATCTTGCAGAGCCGACACATTGGTGTTACATGTATTTGATACAGGAGTCGTGGCTTGTCTATTATAACTCTTTACAGTATCATCACTGCTATCGCTATCTGTACCATCACTAAGAAAACGCTCGTTGTTAATATTTTCAAGATGGCGCTGGCCTTCGCTTTCAACTTGGGTTTCCTCTTTGACATGAATTTCCTCGGGTTCGCTGGTCTGTCCACGTTTGCTTGCAGGGGTTTCCATTTTCACAGTAAGAACTTACGATAACTTAACCAATAACCGTGAGAAGTGTACAATCAATCCGAATTTTTACGGGCGGAGTACAGAGCAGAAAGATACACGTCTGCTCGTCACGGTTGACTATGTTGACTCTATATAACAACTGCATGATGGTGATGATGATGATGGTGGATATGGTTATGATGGTGGTGACGATGACGTTTGTGATGAAAACAATGGTGGAGGACTGGAGGTGATGGTGGTATTGATGATGATGACCGGGGGCGTGATGATAATAACAATAATAATCCTTATTATTATTATATAGACAAATACCGGATATGAGTTATTCTGCAATTTGATTGGCTTTCTACTAGTAGGATATTAGCTCATATACTGCCAGTAGGAAAAAACATGATGGCGGCTCAAAAATTATCGAAGTTTTCTGAACGAGAAAACAACAGGGTTTTCTATAAAAAATATAGCATTAACAGGAATAAGAACACAACGAAAATAGTTCCAGCAATTGTTTACAGGTTAGCAAATAGATTTTTAATACTTAAACTAGTTAAGAAATGATTTTTTTTTAAATAATGCCGAAAGAACAAAGATAAAAACATGAACAGAATAGAATTTTTTTTAAACTAAAAAGAAGGTCAATATATAAGTGTGAAATTAACAAGCATTTGTTTTGTCTAAAATCTGACGAGGGGTCTTTCCTCATCAACGAATATCCAGTGATATCAACAACGCTGTCCGTAATAGTTGATCGTAACCAAGTTTCGGTGACAAACGCAATACTGATCCGATTGCGATTAATAAATTCTTGTATTTCCTCAATTTGGGGCACCAGCAACCTAACATTTGTAATCATGATCTTTGGGACATAATGAGCAATTTTCCTCGAGAAATGATCATCTCAGAATTTGGGTAATTACAGAGGTTGGGGAATAATTAATAGGGCCGTTAATCGTAGCAATAGAAATGCAATTGGAGGGATTATGCCGTTTAGGGGAGAGATACCAAATAATAATAGTTGAACCATTCCAGGTCTTTCCACTTGGGATATACACGAAAATCCACTTCCTTGCTTTGTTTAGATGTATACCATTTCTAGATTTACATATTAGTTCGTGTTGCTGTAAGAACGTGTCATTTCTTGCCCATGCAATAATTACTAGAAGCAGCATTTCGATCTTTTGGTCTCCGATTTGACTTAACACGACTTATTCTCGGTTTTCTTGCTGCTTGTAACACGAGCTGGAATGGGTTGGTAATTTCGCAATCACGATGTTTTTGATGCTCTTTATTATGCGTGGGTGGACTTAAATATTAAATATTCGTTATTAGTATGATCACTGTTGTTTAGTGAAATATTATCCTTTGAGTTCGCATACCGATTGCTGCTGTTATCTTTTACTTGATGTGTATGCTTATGAGCAGTGGTACTCGGAGTAGGAGGCTCACTTGATAACTCTGTTTCTATTGTGCTTCGATTATGTCTATTATTATTTTCCATCACTGGGCTTCATGCAGGATTGTGCTATTGTCAATGACAATGCATTCGTTGTCTTCATAGTTGAGGTTATTTAATAGAGTATTCTCCTTTGTGTTTGATATATTAGAATAATTATTCAAACTTTCGCTGTTTACCAAATGACCAAGATCAACAACAGATATATTTGATCCCACACGGAATTTTTGTAAGTTTAAAGTCACACCCTCAATTTGATTGCTTTTATCCGCATTGTTAGTTGGTAATTTATATTCTGGACTCGACATATTAATGGCTACTTTTCCATGTACAGTTTGAACAGTCTGTCTATTGTTATCTGCTATAAAATTTTGAATTTGTTTCTCAATCTCAGCAATACGAACAGAATGAGAAACTACTTTCTCTTGTTCTTTATGCAGCGAAGCTGTAAAAATTGTAATTTCCAAATCCAATTCAGCAATAGTGATGTTATGTTTCGCATTCAGACTTGGTAAATGATGGTGAATGATGGTGATGATAGTGCAGGTGATGGTGTCAGCTGACAGAATATAACACTTACCCAAACCCTTGGTATGATCTGTAATTGGACCACTGAAATATGAACGTGCATATCCTTGATTTCTGGTCCAATCGAAATCATCACCGGGATCTTGAGTCCATCGGCAACTGTTAGGATCTTCAAAGTTGCAGGAAAATTTGTCTAGACAAAGAAATATTTGAAAGTCAAGACCACAAGTACATTTGTTCCACTGAAAATATATCAGGTACTACTCAGGCTTTGAATTTAAAGTATACGAGCTCATATCCACCAGGCATAACAAATAATTTTAATTCCCAAAAAATTACATTCACAATCTAACGTTTCCAATTTTCCATAAACCAGTCAAGTATCACTATCAAGGATATGCAGCTAGTTTTTTTATTTAAGATCACTCACGATGAAGACACTAGTATGGAGTATCGAAATAATGGGTGGTGAATGAATTTGACTTTTTGAGCATTATTTCGTTCACTTAAACCTGAGTAGTACCAACATTTCAAGATTGAACGTTTTCTAGCACAGTTCGCAGCAACATTACCAGCTGCTATATCCAACAATTTACAGCACTCCAATTAGAGTCGAGCTTATATATGGACGACGGCAACGTGAGGACGACAGCCAAACAAACGCTTGCAATTTAATGATTGTATAGAAACACAATTTGTCTTGTCGTGTTTTTACTATCATATGAAATGACAATGGACTCTATAACTCAGTGGTCAGAGTACCGCACCAGAATCACAGGGCTGCAGGTTCGATTCCTGTCACATGGTCTGTAGTAGCTGCATTTACCACAGCTGCTCCCAGTTAGATCTAAAATATGTATACAATTTTCGCCCAAGTACTTCATATTAGCTTCCCCAAGTTGAGTTGGATTTTCAGCATGACAAGGTCTTCAATTTCTTGTTCGTTATATATCGGTTTATCCATTTGAAACATGCATGTCTATTATATATGCCATTGTAATACTTTTCGTTGGACACACATTTATTTGTGGTGGTTGACCTGAATTTCGTTTTTTAGCAGTTATGCATCAACATGATTATCATAATCATCGACATCGTCATCAAACACAGAGACAAGGTATCGTTTCCCAATTCACCCGAGCCTGAGGCTCATGATACACGTGTTTGACAACTATAGGACTAAGGATTAGTTTTTGTTGAGGAAGAAAACCCAAGTAGTAGCTTGGGGGAAAACCCTCAAAGCACAGGAGAGAATCAACCAAACTCTACTTACATTAGTAAATAATTCTTTACCCTCGATCTACAGTGACAGGTTAAACTAAAGTAAACTTACCTTGGGCGAATGAAATAGCCATACATAGTAGACAGGGAAAGATAGAGCTGATTCGAAAAATCTTCTTGGTAATCTAGAAAAAATTTAAAAACTCAATAAATTATAGTAATTGATTCAATGTCGATTACACTGGCAATTCACCCAAGTACATGATACAAGTGCCTAACAACTTGAGCCTTGGGCACGCGAAGAAAAACCCTCGAAGCACAGAGGGAACCAAACTGGACTGAAACTACCGTGAGTACGAAAGGTTTTACGGTTTAAACGGTTAAAGCACCCCTGGTACTTTACGTCCCACCAAAAAGTTACATTACAATAATAATTCACATACGACAACACCAGTTCATGAAAATTATAATATAGGAATATTATTTAATTAATTACATCGGCCGAAAGGACGAGCCGAAATGCATCACCAGTGTCTTAATTAAAAGGGGGATTTTCTCTCTTCTTCATCGCTTTTTTTGGGTGTCACAAACGTGACGTTCCTCCAATGGATCATGGTCATCTAATTTTCAAGACAGTGTAACTGACAGTTTTCCTTATTAAGGGTTTAATAATACTCAAGGACACTTTAAGGTCATTCATCAGTAACTGTTCTGGAAATGAGAATTCGCTGAAACTTCCCAGGGGTGAAGTTTATGATATGCTCATAATAAAAACAGAAAAAAAATTTGGGGTCACCGAACTCAATAACTCATTGAGAATATATGACAAGTGCATTATGCCACCTTTTCCACCATATGGCGCCATCTTGACCCTTTTACGAGTTACAGGAATAATCGCAATTGCTCAACCGTTATTGCATATTTTATCAAATATCCTACTAAAAATGTCTATCTAGTGATTATATACAAGAAAACATGGTATTTTAGCGAATGAAAAAACATTGACGTGCATTGTCGTGGTGCAAATATGATAAAATTGGATATTCATCCTGTCTTACTTAATGGACCTATTACCTAATGAACAAAATTTTGATCTACACACGTTTGGACAAACATTTTATCACGGCTTGAAAGAGCATCACAATTACTAATATTCCGAAGTTTCGTTGCGAAATGTTGTAAAATGCGGATAATATAGCCCTGCGAAGTTTGCCGTTTTTCAGTCATTTTGTATTACCCGCGGAAAATTGATACCTTTTTTCAGAAAGCGGATATCAATTTCCCGTGCGGAAATGCTCATTTCCACTCATGAAAATTTTGTAAAATGTGATTGGCCGACACAAATTTTCCTTCGGAAAAATGTTGAAGTTGAAAAATTTCTTCAACTTTTAACAATGGGAAATTTTCGGAAAATTTTCTGTCCGTGGAAATTTTTCTTGAGTGGAAATGGGCCTTAATACAAAATGACTGAAAAACGGCAAACTTCGCAGTGCTATATATTATACACATTTTACAACATTTCGCAACGAAACTAGCCTACGGAATATTACTAATTTTGTAATGCTCTTTCAGGCTGTGGTGAAATGTTTATCTAGATTTGTCTAGATCAAAATTTTGTTCATTAGGGAATAGGTCCATTGCCATTGGATTAACGGTTTCCTTGTCAATAGAAAACAGTCTGTCAGAATTGGGGGAACTTTGTCAAATTGGAAATCCCCGAATGGTGGTATACCCCAGGGAATTAAACTTGGTGTTATTCTCTTTTCGGTTATGAGAAATAAGCTAATATCTGATTGGCATTTAAGGACAAAGTTTGTCGATGACACAGCTGCGCTAGGGATTATGGCCCAGGAACTCAATTCAGTTATCTGAACAATACGGTAGATGAATTACATCAATTCACTGTAAATCATAACATGAGTCTCAACCCACTTAAATACAAGGAGATGGTAATTAATTTTATGATGAATAATAACAACTATATAATGAGCCCCATTTTAATAGGCAGCAACGTGGTGGAAAGAGTAACCAATTATAAATTACTTGGAGTTCAATGAACCATTCCCCAATTAACCAAAATTTTGAACTCAACAAGTCTAGACAAAAATTTCATCACAGCTTGAAAGAGAATCACAAAACTAGTAATATTCCAAAGTTTCGTTGCAAAATGTTGTAAAATGCGGATAATACAGACTTGCGAAGTTTGTAATTTTCAGTCATTTTGGATTACGCACAAAAGTGGTAACCATTTCCCGTTTGTAATCTAAAATGACTGAAAATTGCAAACTTCGCAAGGCTATATTATCCGCATTTTACAACATTTTGCAACGAAACTTTGGAATATTACTAATTTTGTGATGCTCTTTCAGGCTATGATGAAATTTTTGTCTAGACTTGTTGAGTTCAAAATTTTGGTTAGTTGGGGAATGGTCCATTGAGTGAGGATCTTAAGTGGAATGTAAGAAGCTATATTCACTACGCGTCCTTCGTAGAGCTGGCGTTGAGCAAAGGAATATACTAAATGTGCATCTAACTACTATCAGACCGGTATTGGAATATGCTGTACCAATATGGCAAGCTATTCCTGACTATTTAATTAAAAGGCTAGAATCAATAAAGAGAAGAGCACTTCGAATCATTTTCCCTTCCATAGACAGTTATGATCAGGCGATGATGATGGCACAGATACCAACATTGGAGAGTAGACGTTGAACAGTTATGTAAAAAATATATGATTAAAATGAAGAAGCAAGATCATCCCCTGCACTTTATGCTCCCAGAACCTAAGATGAGCGAATGCAGGTATAGCCTACGAAGTGGGCAAAACAATACTGTTTTGTTTGAGAACACAATCAAATGCAGAACTTTAAGATCAGAACTTTAAGTTTTAACAGTTATATGTACTCATTCATTTTTGTAAAAAATAGTTTTAGTAATACTCGTTAATTCAGTGTAAATACTGCAAGAGAGTATATTTTCTGATGACATGTAAAACGTATAGAAGAACAAAAATATAAAATAAAAAAGTGGGGTCACGAACCTTCTTAAAGCGATACAAGGGTAAAAGGTTAAACATGCAACATGATGTGGTTTAGTGTTAGTTGTACAGGAGCCCTAGCCAGAGCCCTGTCATTTTTGACTGTATATATTTCCTGAAGCACGCCTAATTAATGCAGAGTGTTTTTCTCTTTGTCCTTATTCTTTCCTTATGACTTTACATTGCAGTCCGACTACATATATTAGCTAGAATTTGTTATTAGATGTGCGCAGTAAAAGTGTGCAATGCAAAACCGACGAAGCACCTTGACACAATGCAAGACAAAATAAGGTTAATACAAGAAAATACAATGATCAGCAGTAATCCCCGAGCCGGCGGCGCGAAGCGCCGTGCGAGGGTACTAATTCCCCCCGGCTATTTACACCCGGGGAAACGAAAGCATTAGGGAAGTCTAAAGTTCATCAATGAGCGCGGGCGTCGGTCACCAACGATGGGTGGTCATCCTCACTGATCTCAAAAATATGGCGGACTGTCATGAATAACGGACACTGATTGGTCCAATTTAAAGTTTGCATTATAACGGCTGCATGACGACAGCGAAATAGCAAACATTTCTTGATTTGATGAGTTGATGATTGATAAATTTCTTGCAAATCTTCTTCATTTTTGCTCGTATTTCTGCAAGATTTTGTAAATTTCAAGAAAGAAAGGGCGAAAGAATCAGCTAAAAGAAGGGCGCCGACGTTAACGAAGGTATGTTTGTTTTAAATATTGATTTTATAATGGCTTTAAAACTCGACGGCCTTTGCGTATATGAAACAACTAAACAAGACAGCATATAATTTCAGTGTATCTTTAATATTGATTCCCTTTTTTTTATATTGAATTTTTTAAATAAAAAATAAGGCAAAGTTATTTGCAAGCAAGAATTTGAAATCATTTTATTGCAAACTCAAAGTTTATCGATAAAGCCATTTAATAGTTAAAGGCAGTTTCGAGGGCAGTTTAGTTTTATAAAGAACACTTTAAAACGTTTTGCGAATTGTTTGTGGTTGAATTTTACCTTAAATTGAAGCTTGTATTACGTATAATTACATACCTAACATAAATATGTTGGAAAATTGATAATTTTGTAATTAAAAGTGATATTTTTAGGCGATTTTCATTTGTAAGAATATTCTTAAAAAATTATCGTGTTACCATGACAACTACTTTACTACTGTAGATACTTCATGTTCGGAAAATACAACGGTTTTGTCAGCAAGGCGAGGGTTTCTGCATGCATGTATTTTCTAGTTGGAATTATTATGAATCCTAACTCGGATCCTAATTCGATATATAGTCAGGCTTCCTCCTGTCTGTCTGCAAACGTTTACACTAGGGTGAGGCGGTTAATCGATAAACCGGGAAAAAATTGTTTTTTGAAAAACGATTCAACCGATGTTGTTCTAGGCAAAAAACCGAAAACAATTCGGAAATCATCTGTTTGAAACATTACGACTCTACGTTCACATTACGCCGGGGCGAAATAATGGCTGCCGAATTTACGTGTGTTCACACTTACGTCGTTACAGTTTGTTTACAAATTAAATTAGCAGTCATGTAAACTCAAAATATTTCAAAATGAGCAAAGAAATTTACACCAAGAGCATTCGACTTTACTGTTTTGAGACCTGAGATGCTTAGTTTGCAAGCGGTGCACAAAAGTAACGGCGTTTGTGTTCACATGATGCTACCAAGCGCTCCGTTTTCATCTCGCTCCGTTTAGAAACCGTGCTCAAATTGTTAACGCAAAAGTGACGTTTTCAAACAATTTCGCGTCGGCGTAGTGTCAACGCAACAGCTAATTGTGACTTTTCTGCGCCGTTTTCAAGCCACTCCGGCGTACGTTGTATGAACGTGGTCTCAGAAACGTTCAAACAAAGACTGATGATCGTTTAATTAAACACACCACATTTAAACTAAGACTGATGATCTATTCCTCTCTAAAACACCTTACCTGCATGCTTAAGATAATGTACCATAAACAGAACGAACGGGATACACAGAATAGCAGCATTCAGTTCAACAAGTTAAAATACAACGGTGCTTCTGAATAGATATAAAAGTATGATGCATAGTAGCCAGCCCAGAGTGAGTGCCAGTCCTCATGCATGCAGACTATAGGCGTAACGTCTCAAGTGGGATCACGCAAATTTTTTATCTTAACAGCCAGTGATCAATACGAACCCGAAACTCGTTTCTGGTTGCTATTTCAATTTTAGAAATGATTAAAAACTTAGAAGTAATTTTATAAGGCTAACCCACTTCTGACGTTATCAAAACCATCCTCCAAGATGGCAGACAGTCCACTGTTTTTAGTCGAAGTATTTTAAGAATCAAGCAAGATAAAAAAGTCTTTATTTTTGAAGTCCTTTTAAAATAGTAGAAACTAATTTCTTGTTGCCATTGACATATTAGAGAGTTTGAGCAAGACAACGAAGTACGAAGACGAAGGCATACTTGACAATTTTTGCCATCTGTACATTATCTTGCACATACCGGTGTTGACGTAAGTGGTGGTTGCTCAACGTGTCTTCCCATGTGTCACTGTTTATGATACTGACCATAATTCATGCCCTGATACAGAAAAAAACAGCGAGACATGAAACTATATCCTGTCTTTGTCCTTCTGCTTTCGTGCAGAACGAAGTTCACAACGAATTTTTCCAAAATATTCGTTGTGAACGAAGGCAGAAGACGAAGACGGGATATGGATTCATATCTCGCTGTTTTATCCTGATCAGGGTAAGGATTTGGGTCATCATTCACAAACAGCTAGACATGAATCTCTAATCTGTCTTCACTCCTGACCCTAAACTCAGAATGCGCAAGGTAATGTGCAAGACAGGCAAACATTGTCAACCGCGTCGTCGTCGTCCGACTTCGTTGTCTTGCTCAAACTCTCTATTGTCCTCTAAGATGGCGGAGCGGTCATGCTTCAATGGCTCTCTGACGATTTACCTTTTAGTCTCTTTAATTACTTGTTGCTCAATTTTTGAAAGACTCTACGAAGTTGTTGTGTAAGAATGAAAATTTCCAGAATCTGATTGAAGCCGCGGTTAACGACTCAACTGCTCAACTCATGTGGCATCATTTTTGCCGAACTTAACTATTCTTCAGATTATTTTAAAAAGCTTCAAATATTTCGTAAAGCAATCAAATTGAGACCGTGCGGTCGATTTCGCGGCAGAAACAATCGGAAAGAGAAGAATATACACTTCTCGACGTTTCGGGGTATTGTACCTAAGCATTGTATTCTGTTGCCTCTCACGATTTCCGCAGAGAAGTGAAAACAATTCATTATTAAAAAGCCGCCCGCAAAGTTTCCGCGAACCGCCCCTGCAGACTGTCGGATCACTTTTCATGTGAAGAAAAACATGGCTTTCACGATTTACGTGCAAAATATTAACACAGAAACAGCGGGTTAAGTTTGAAGGCAGGCGTTAATCCGCTTTGAACAACTGGCCTCACTGCCCCAGAATTGTAACGCCTTACATGAAGTAGCACTAGTGAATATTGTCCAAGCGGACTCACTTGCTACTATTTTGGCGCCAAGTGGCGGTAAGTCGGTTATTAAAACAGCATATAGCTCGTCTTACGGGTAAAATATAAGTGGTGCCTTTCTCTAAATTTGTTTAATGGCTCGTTAACGTAACGAATTGTACAATGTTGACTGTTGTTTTAATACGTTATGCGTCAGTTTGCAACTGTTCTACAAATAGAGTTTGCAACTGTTCTACAAATAGAGCTATCTAGTTGCCGTATATGCAATCGACTTGACTTTGAATTTACCATTATTCCAAGTTTGTTTCATTCTACTTTGTATTCCTTAATGTTTTCATCTGGAGCTGTATCTGAGGAAAATTATCTCTGTGCGTATTAAAAGGCGTTACAATGGAAAACCTTAGAGTATAGCTTGAAAATCAAGAATTTTACGTCATTTCTCATTACGCAGTTACGCTGTAACTAACACCCGTCTGGTACTACATTCATTTTACCAAAGTATCACGTAGGTACGCGATACTGTTCCTATTTGCGTAGTTACTTTTTGCTGGTACCATTAGTAGGTCTATCTTGTGTCTGACATGTTTTGGTTGGACTGATGGCACTAAGGAATGTTGGAGTCGATTGTTTGTATATGCAATTGTGCTTCTTGTTCTAACTCGTAGTTTGTACTTTAAACAGCATCTCCTGCGCTCTGACATCACCTTTTTTATTAATTCAGTCATTGAAAAATACATGTTTTTCAATTAAAGGACAATGGCAATAGATTTTTTTATTCTCGATATCTATTAAACATACCTACGGAATACTTAATTACGTATTTTCACTTGTCTATCGCGTTTAGTTATTCAGAAATATCATAAAACTTTCGACAGTTGTCCGCCATCTTGAAAAAAACCTGGTATGCTAATTTATGTGAGAATAAATTTGTGACGTCAAGAGCAGGAGAAACAAATATTGTCAATATTGATAGTATGCGTGCGAACACATTCTACGAAGATTTTGACCAAAAAGTGCGGATAAACAATTTTTTTGCATAACTGCGTAAAAATTTAGCGCTACTACTCTGTGTGTTTCAGCTGTGTTTTTAAAATAAACGCGTTGATTTCGGCGGTAAAAGCGCTTTGATTATAAATGATTATGACAATATGCTCGCCTACTTTGTAGACAAAATATTTACTGTTCTCTGTGATCACGGCTATGGCCACATCAACAGGAGCAATATCGCATAAATAAACACTATTAATGACTGAGAATATGTTTTGATTCATTGCAATTCGCGTGTAAAAATCGTTTTGATGTTTTTGTGATATAAATAATGAGAGAACAACTTTGTTTATAAACTAAATTTTAATAAAGCATTTAAAGCATTAATATATACACCACTGCACTTTATTAGATAATAGGACAATTGCAAATTATAATAAGTAAACATTTGTTGTAGGAAATTGGGGTTGCATGCTGCACATTATAATAAAGTGGATTGCATCGCAGGAATTAGAGCATCTTCAACCTTGGATTTTGACTCAGCCTTGTTTTAATACTAGACAGAAATGGCAGCCCTGTCTTTTTATCAAACTCTTATTAAACAAAAAAGTTCAACCAAAGGGCTGAGTTCAAAAACGAGGTTAAAATTAAATTTCAAACCTGTTTCGAGCACCCCAGGCCGAGGGCTACTTTACTGAACAAATTCCAACGCTGTCAACAGTAAACGAGTTTATCCCCAGGCTTGAAAATGCTTCATGTAATCGGCACATACTAGAGTTATTATTAAAAGAGCATAGATTTAGCCAAATTTGAATAAATGAACATTCAAACAATCTCAAAGCCCCAAACCGCTCTCGAATACACAATTCCCATTATAGACTAATTTTAAAACTAGGCAAGGAGATGCAAATAAATCACCACAGCTAGAAAGAGCATACTAAAATGTGTAACATTGCAAAGCTTGGTTGCGAAATGTTGTAAAATGCATTTGGGCCGAAAATGTAGCAACTTCCGCACGCAATACAAAAGTATACAAAATTTGCGAACTTTGCAAGGCTATATGTTCCGCATTTTACAACATTTCGCAACTAAACTTTGCAATGTTACTAATTTTAGTATGCTCTTTCTAGCTGTGGTGATTTATTTGCATCTCCTTGCCTAGTTTTAAAATTACTCTATAATGGGAATTGTCTATTATTGTGTAAACACACGCAGGAAGTGGCCTTCTGTTCTTAGGCCAAATAAAAAAATACTTGGTTAGCGTCACACTCTCACAAATTTTCAGAGGCGGGCGGGCGGATTTTTTTTAAAATTTTTACTCGTTTTTTAATTTTTTAATAGTATATTTGGAGGGGATGGGGGGCGGTTTTTCCACCATATCGGTCATATTTTTTGTACTGATGTTGCGAAGGCCGCCATTTTGCTTTAAGAACCTTGTATACCCAAGCCTACGCGCTCCTATCGATCAGTATATAGCGCGAAGGTCTGAGCATGAGAAAAATTTCAAATATTAAACTGTTTTAAGCTGTAAAACGAAGAGATTTACATAAAAAAAAATAAAAAAAATTCAGAGGCGGCAGAAAATCGAGAGGCGGGCGGTGACGCTAACCAAGTATTTTTTTTTTTATTTGGCCTTATTCCCCAAAATCTGATATACCCAACGCGAACATCGTTGGTAAGCTACTAGTCTATAAATTTTGTGTATCTTGTCCAAATCTTTGTCATCCAGAGGCCAGTTTAATATTTGCAAGATAGCGACAAACGTCTATTTAATAGCCCTTCCGACAGCATGTTCGCTTTGAATTCTGCATGTGTTGACAGTGTTGTAAAGGCAGGCAAGCACTTCTCCCCTTGTGTTTCAGCCTCCTTCAATCATGCATCTTATTCATCGTATTCTAACGCTTTATCGTGGCAACAAAACAATTCAATATCCTTTAGCTTCAATGTGCAAATGCGCCAAGCATTTTCGACCTCAAGCACATGGTGATTTCCTCGTCAGACGTTCACTCTGTTCTTCGGAGTCGCTCTCGTCACCGCAATCGCTTGTTTGTAAGCCCAGTTTAGGTTCAAATTGATAAGGTAATACCTTATCTACTTGATATCGTGGATATTTTCCATCCGAGTAATCCAAAAGCGCCAAATTTCTCACTAGAAATACGAAGTCGCAATATGCGCCTAATAAAATATATTTGTTGTTTTGATTCTACCCTGCTCTTGACGTCACACAGGTCATGTGACCCAAAAGATAATTTTTTTGAAAATCGATCCAAGATGGCGGACGTACTGAATATTTACGGTGAAATAACTCGAGAATAAAACATTTTTTATGAAAACTAATAGCATATTCGTAATCAGGGGGTCCAGTTTTACCAATATCAGGAATAAAAAAATTTATTGCCATTGTCCTTTAAGAGTATTTTTGATCAATTTGCTGGCATGCGTGATTGCTCAAATGCTTCTTGGAAACCTTGTAGTATTGTGTTGATAAATTGATCAAAATTGTCAGATTAATTTATCTAACTTGAACATTAATAATAATAATAATAATAATAATAATGAAAACTTTAATTTGACATTTTAGGTATATACAATTATAAATCTCACTATTTAAGGTAGTTTCTAACTGACTACTTGAACTATTAATTATTGATAAATTATATTACAGGTATAAAACTAAGAGAAAGCTCATTATTAAATGTTCATCAAGTCCGGATTGGTCCAATCCTTGCTTCTACAACAAAATATATAGTACGTTTTTTTGTCGGCGACGGACATTATTTTCTTATTAAGACAAAAGTTCTGATGTTTTTTATCAAGACCAACTTCGTTCAACATTTTCATAAACGTGCTACATTCTTTGGAGAAAACACCTAAGGCAGTAATAGACAAATTAATAAATTTGACAGTTTTCAAATGGTCTTTCTGCTGCGTAATTAGATCCTTGTATCTTTCCCTTTTGCGATCGACGTTGTTTTGGAGATTGGATTCATATCCGACAGAGAGTTCGAGTATGTACAGACAATAATTTGAAATCGAAAGAACCAGACCTGGGCGATAAGTGTCACCGGTTATTATTGACGGGCTCTTGTATCCAGGAAGGTCAACAAATAGAGTGAAGTTGTGGTCAGGGTGGATTATGACTGACATCCCGCGACTACGTGCAGAAGGGTTTCAGGGTTCAGGCAGAGGGAGTGATTCCGAGTTTGACATTATTCTCCAATTTGTGAGGTTTTTGCGTGTGGGAAGAGTTTGTTGATGTAACGGATGGTGAAGTTATAGATGCTTTTTGGCAAGCTTGATTGAGATTTGGACCATAGGTTGTTTAGTGTAGACAACGAGAACTTGGTGACGTTAGTGGAAAAGGAGCCTTGGAGAAGCAGATGATTTTGTAGATTGTCCTCTTTAGGGGCTGATTCAGAAAAAAATCTGACTGTAGCATAATCCTAGAATTCGGAGGCACCAGCATATCTAGGGGTAGGGGGCATGCCCCCCGGAAATTTTTTGAAATTTGAACCCCGGAAACGACGCCATTTCCTACATTCTGAGCATCGAATTCTGTTCTAATATAGTAACATTTGACCTTATTGTCGATTTCATATTACTTTTTCAAAGCGCGGTTCAATTCGAACTTCGATTGTAAACAAATTAATGTAAAAATTTCATTATAAATTTATTTAAAACGGCATTTGTCGTCTTGGGAGACCACTGGACCAAAATTTTATTGCAGTAATATGCGCATACTCATTAGGGCCTTATACAGTAATTTCAACTCCAACTATGATCATTTGTTTACAATCAAAGTTCGAACTTTGAAATGAACTTGAGAACTTCGTTTAGATGTTCACGCCCAGCTTCCGAACTTGACAACGTAATTGGCAAGTTCGCAACGAACTTGGGAACAGCGTGTTGAAAAAATCGACAATAATAAGGCCATATTTTAGACAAATCGTCACAAAAAATACAATAACTGAAGGTCAATATTTTTTAGAAAAAGTTGGAAAAACAGGTAACAATGTCAGTAAAACATGAGGGAAAGGGAATCTTTCGAAGTACTGCTGTTAATTGGAGTTGGAAAATAGGACTCAATGGCAAGTTTTAAGACACTGGATAATGAAAGCAAACATAAAAAGGAACTCGACTGATGATTAATTGAGTTGTTAAAAGCCTCCTCTCCTATGGTTATGACTGCTGTAGATGGATCCTCTGGAAAATAATGTACAGAAATAATGGACTTACAGCAAATTAAATTTCTTGCACGTGCTTTAATTGGCGCAGTTAATTAAGACAGCAACCAATCATGCGCTAATATATCTTTTAACATACAAGTATGGCTGAAAGTTCTGCCTCATTAATAACTCAGGGTAGAGCAATAGTCTCGTAAATTGAAGGTCGCGAGTTCGAATATCTCATGAGGCTCTATCAGTTTCTTAATTTGTTTTTGGGAGTTAGCGATACTGCACTGAGGCTCAAGAGGTGGAAAACGTTGGAAAACTTAATCATGTTTACTTTAAAAATACGAATGATATATGGCCTCATCAGAGATTTGAACTCTGGACCCCTGGTTTACTAGACCAGTGCTCTAACCCCTAAGCTAATGAGGCATATTCGTTCAGTAAACATTTTCCTAAAATGTTATGAAAACTTGGAACTTCTTATGCATGTATTTTTGCTTTTAGTTCGAACCTCTTTAGAGGTGGTTCTTAATGAAGGGCGAATAATGAGTTCTTGTGTTCAAAATAGTTAAACCAAATTTTACACCGCGTTACAACACATCTAAATTCCAGAATTCTCATTGCTTGATTTGCAAAACATCTTGCTTCAAATATTCAACGACTATCTTTTCACAAAGAATAAATCTGTCACCGGAACCATAGATGGTATTGATTTTGTTCTCGAAAACTATGAACAATTAAGAGCCCCATAAGAGAATGAAACTCCAGAGCCCTGGTTTACAAGACCAGTGCTCTAACCACTGAGCTAATGAGGCATCTGCCCACCACTGATTTTCTTAGCGTTTGTATTTTGTTAGTCAAATTATCTTGATCTACGAAGAGGGTTATTGTGAAAAAAGGCGAAATAACTATAAGCATGATGCAATATGAAAAATGATCGCTGAAAAATACGAAATGTCTTTGAGGTTCGTTAACTCATATCTGTATAGTAATTGCCTTACGAGTACATTACTGTATACTCCATAGATCTTCGGTTATTACTTTGGTGCATTACGCTTTCCACTTCATTTTCAGCCTTTCCAGCGCAGAACATTATATTTATGTTTCGAATAAACCAGCTGAAATTTAAAGACCATGTCATGTCCATAATGTAAACAAAGGATTTGTTTACATTTTGAACTGCTATGTTTGTAAAATAAAAAATATTAAAGGAATATCTAACACTTTTCTGCTTCGCAATTGCAAATGAATATTAAGTAGAGAACGTTTCAATTCAAAAAGTTCGAAAGATGCAAAATTTGGGCAACGTTTGTAACTGTGGATCCCTTAATTGTGGGTCCCCATTTGTTATGAGCAGAACTGACGCGCAGAACGGATTTGACATGGTCCTTAAACTTCGATCAGCCACACGTTTAGATTTCGTTCAAACTTGAAGTACTCCTAGCGAAAAATGATCGCTTAAATTCGTTGGTATTTTTGGATTTTCTACGTTTTCTACATAGAGCAATGATGATTTTCTGGCTAAGGAAATTTTTGATCATTAGTTCTACGTTGAATTGGCAACACATGTAATCAGAATTTGTTGAATAAAAGCAAAGAAATAATAGAATATTTCTTTTATCAATTTTTTTGTTTCTTAGTGAATAAACTATTTGAAAAATTGTTGGGAGTTAGCTATACTGCACTGAGGCTAAACGGGTGCAAAACGTTGGAAAACTTAAATTACAAAATCTCTTAATATCATGTTCGCTTTAAAAATAAGGATTGTCATGGGTGTACCGGACGGGAGGGGCTGAGGGGGCGGCAGCTCCCCCCCCCCAGTTTGTTGGGCAAACAAAGCCTGTCGGGCAATATTCGTTTCACAGTCGGGCAATATTGGCTAATTATAAAAATAAATGGAACAAATTCAGTTAATTTTGTGGGAAATATGCTATCTAATAGGAATTTTTCCCCCCCCCCCCCCCCCCGTCGACAACAATTTTGGAAAGTTTCTCCGGGAAATTTTTTTTGACAACGCGGGCACAATCCGAAAAAGTCCGGCAAATTTCTTTCCGCCCCCCTAATTTTTTCCTTCCCGTACGCCCATGACTGGATTGTAGCCTCATCAGAGATTTGAACTGTGGATTTGAACTGTGGACCCCTGGTTTGCTAGACTAGTGCTCTAACCACTGAGTTAATGAGGCATATTCGCACTGTCAACGTTTTCCTAAAATGTTATGAAAACTTGGAATTTTTTATATATGTATTTCTGTTCAAACACCTTTAGAGATGGGTTCGCAATGTTCAAATTAGTTAAACCAAATTTCAAAATCTGTTGCAACACATCTAAATTCCAGAATTCTCATTGCTTGATTTGAAAAATTTACAGCTTCAAATGCTCTAACCACTGAGCTGATGAAGCATCTGTCCACCACTGACATTCTTAGCGTTTGTATATTCGTAGCGTTTTGTATTTTGTTAGCCAAATTATCTTGAACTACGAAGAGGGTTATTGTGAAAAAAATGGAAAACAACTATAGGCCAATATGAAAAATAATCGTTGGAAAACACGAAATGTCTTTGAGGTTCATTATGTCATATCTGTATAGTAATTGCCTTAACAGTACATTACTCTATACTCCATAGATCTTCGGTTATTATTTTAGTTCATTATGGTTCCCACTTCATTTTCAGGCTTTCCCGAGCAGAACTTTATATTTATGTTTCGAATAAACCAGCTGAAATTTAGACTTCAACAACACGTTTTAGATTTCTTTTAAACATAAAGTATTCAAATCGAAAAATAATCGCTTAAATTCGTTGGTATTTTTTGGATTTTCTACGTATTCTACATAGAGCAGTGATGATTTGTGGCTTAGGGAATTGTTTATTATTAGTTCTACGTTGAATTGCCTACCCATTTAATCAGAATTTGTTCTGAATTTATTGCAAATTATATGGGGGAAGAACAGAAATAATGGACTTACAGCAAATTAAATTTCTTGCACGTGTTTCGGCACAGTTAATTAATACTGCAACAAATCATGCGTTAATATATCTTTCACAGTGAAAGAAAGATTGCAGAAAGTTTGCCTCATTAGCTCAGGGGTAGAGCAGTAGTCTCGTAAACTAAAGGTCGCGAGTTTGAATCTCTCATGAGGCCCATTAGTGAATTCAAATTTGAAAAATTGTTGGGAGTTAGCTATACTGCACGGAGGCTGAAGAGGTGGAAAACGTTGGAAGAGTTAAATTCCGAAATCCTTTATCATGTTTCCTTTAAAAATATGAAGGGTATTGCCCCATCAGAGATTTGAAATCTGAACCGCTGGTTTACTAGACCAGTGCTCTAATCCCTGAGCTAATGAGGCATATTCGTTCAGTAAACCTTTTCCTACGATGTTACGAAAACTTGAAATTATTTCTGCTTTTAGTTCAAACCTGTTTAGAGGTGGGTTTAGATATTTTGTGTTCAAATTAGTTACACCAAATTTTACAATCCTCTACAAGGCATCTAAATTCCAGAATTCTAATTGCTTGATTTGAAAAACATCCAGCATCCAATATCCAACGACTATCTTTTCATGGACAATAAATTTGTCACCGGAACCATACAGTATTGGTTTTGTTCTCAAAAACTACGCGCAATTAAGAGCCCCATCAGAGAATAGAACTCCGGACCCCTGGTTTACAAGACCAGAGCTCTAACAACTGAGCTAATGAGGCATCTGTCCACCACAGATTTTGTTAGCGTTTGTATTTTGTTAGCCAAATTATCTTGAACTATATACGATGAGGGTTGTCGTTAAAAAAGGGAAAACAACTATAAACCAATATGAAGTATGACCGTTGGAAAATACGAAATGGCTTTGAGGTTCATTAGCTCATCCCATACTAATTCCCACCCGGCTACTCCCGGGGAAACGAAAGCATTAGCGAAGTCTAAAGTTTATCAATGATCGCGGGCGTGGCTCTCCAGCGATGTTTCGGTGGGTGGTCATCCTCACTGATCTCAAAAATATGGCGGACTGTCATGAATAGCGGACACTGATTGGTCCAATTTAAAGTTTGCATTATAACGACTGCATGACGACAGCGAAATAGCAAACATTTCTTGATTTGATGATTGAGATTGATAAATTTCTTGCAAATATATTTCATTTTTGCTCACATTTTTGCAAGATTTTGTAAATTTTAAAAGCTTTCTCAGAAAAAAAGGGCGAAAGAATCGGCTAAAAAAGGGAGCCAACGTTAATATTGATTAATATTGATGGGAGCCAACGTTAATATTGGTTAAATATTGATTTTATAATGGCTTTATAACCCGACGGCCTTTCTGTATATGAAACAACTAAACGGGACAGCATATAATTTCAGTGTATCTTTAATATTGATTCCCTTTTTTTATTATGTTGAATTTTTTAAATAAAAAGGAAAGCAAAGTTATTTGCAAGCGAGAATTTGAAATAATTTTATTGCAAACTCAAAGTTTATTGATAAAGTCATTTAATTAAAGGCAGTTTAGTTTTATAAAGAACACTTGAAAACGTTTTGCGAAGCGTTTGTGGTTGAATTTTACCTTAAGGTGCATATGACATGAATATGATTATTTTCATGAATGAAAGAACTCTTTCAGCTGTAGTGTAACTTATTTTTCATTTTCTTGATTTTGTGGTTTGTTCCGGTGATGTTTCAATTTGTTTGATATGTAAATGAGTGTGAATATGTCCGCTAATTTGTGACGTCACTTTGGTTGCAAGCTCTTCGAAATGGTTCAATATCACTGCTATTATCCAAGACGATAATTTCAAACTTCACTCACTGGTAAATGTGATGAAATACTGGAGAAAAACGTGAACTGATATCTACAGTTTTTAGAGTTAATAGATTTATGCTAGTGTAAGTTGAGCTTGCAGCCAAAGTGACGTCATAAATAAGCGGACATATTCACACTCATTTACATATCAAACAAGTTCAAATATCTCGGGAAAAACCACAAAAACAAGAAACTGAAAAATAAGTTACTCTATAGCTTAAGGAGTTCGTTCTTTGGACAGAAGTGTAATGTTAATAACTCCTATTCAATCTGCAAATAACTTACCACTTACCAAGACAATATCACACAACCGCTCGGTGAGTGACACTCAAGTAGAAAGACAAATCCCGGTGTTAATCACCAACCGTAGACCAAAAAAGAAATTTTAACCTAAGCAGCACAGAGGTATGTACGGCCAACAAGTTTACCAACCATGTTTTTTTCGAAATCGGCCCATACCCTGGCAAACCGACTGGCACGAGTACCTCAAGTTTGTCCACGAAGTGTTACATCCTCGCGTGACTCGGCCATGACCACATTTAAATTAACGACCCGCCGGATATCAAGTAACTTAATCCAAATTCCTTGTTGTAATATACAAAGTTGACCCATTACAAAAGTTTCTCTGCCTTCCCTGTTCGTTTCGAATATTGATTACCGGGGACTTTAACTTTCACTTGGATGATACGGTTAACAGAAATACGATAAAATTTAATGAGATGCTTGAAACATTTGGCCTCAAACAACATGTTTGTACTCCAACACATTCGTCCAATCATACACTGGATCTATTGATAAGTCGATCTACAAGTGACATTAATATCCATTCGATTGAGAGTACTTTCTTTCTGTCCGACCATTGTTTTGTAGAATGTAAATTATCTATTCCTCGTCCGAATGACTCCAAAAAGCTAATTTCTTATCGTGAACTGAAAAAGATTAACATTGTTGACTTTAAACTTGATCTAAGCAATGTGAATTCACATTGCGAAAACATTGCACATCTTGATGAATTAGTGCATTGCTATGATGACGTACTTTCACGTATTTTAAATACCCATGCTCCTGTCCGAAGAAAGCTAATGAAAGTTAAGCGTTCAACTCCTTGGTACAATGACGAACTAATACAATTGAAAGTAAAGCGTAGGAGACTAGAGAGAAAGATGCGGAAAACAAAACTAGAAGTAGATTGGACTGCCTATCGGAAAATATGTAACCGATATTGTTACTTGTTGAATAAAGCCCGAACTGATTATTATACTTCCCTTATCAGTGATAGCTCCAACGATCCAAAGAATCTTTTCAGAATTGTGAGCTCCCTTTGTAATGCACCGCATGAAGATCCCTTACCACCTCATGACGATCTTGGTCAATTATTAGCAAATAGCTTCAACGAATATTTTTTCCGCAAAATTGAATTGATTAGAGAAAATGTGGACAGTATCCATGTCGATCCTCCGTTGGTGCATTACCGTAATCCTGAAGTCAAATTAAAATCTTTTGAGATACTTTCTTCCCAGGATATTCATGATTTTATTATGCAATTGTCCAGTGCCAGCTGCAAGCTTGATCCGATCCCATCATGGCTTGTTAAAGTCTGTTGTCTGGAACTAATTCCCTCTATCACCAAAATTGTAAATTTATCCTTGCAGGAGGGTCGTGTCCCAGATCACTGGAAAATTGCTCTGCTGAAACCAAATCTGAAAAAGTCTAGTTTGGACCCAGTATTTGAGAACTTTAGGCCTGTGAGCAATCTGTCATTTCTTTCTAAGATCATTGAAAAGGCAGCCGCCAACCAATTGCTGAACCATTGTGAAAAACATGCACCTCTCCCTACCTGTCAATCTGGCTTCAGGAAATATCATTCGACAGAGACGGCTCTGCTAAAGGTGCAAAGCGATATTCTTCTGAGTATGGACAGGCAGGAAGTGTGTTTTCTTGTACTCTTGGACTTAAGCTCAGCGTTCGATACAATTGATCATAAAACTATCATTGACGTATTGGAGTATCAATTTGGAGTAACGGATAGGGCTCTTGAATGGATAAAATCATATCTATTGAACAGGAAACAGAGAGTTGATCTGGATAACAATTTTTCTCAAGACTGCGATGTTAAGTACGGAGTGCCTCAAGGGGGTATGTATTTATGTATCCCAACTATATGACATTATTGACAGGCACTTACCCTCTTCTCATGGATATGCTGATGACACGCAACTTTATGTATCCTTTCACCCAGATTGTGAAGATAATTCAGAAAGTACCCTAGCCATACTGGAAGATTGTATTTCTGATGTTCGTACTTGGCTGTTGTCTCATAAATTAATGTTCAAAGATTCGAAAACGGAATTTCTTGTAATTGGTACACCACAACAACTTTTGAAAATAAACATTGAATCCGTTAACGTTGGTAGGGTCCAAATTAAACCGGTTGACAGTGTTCGAAATTTGGGATCTTGGTTTGACAAGCATATGTCAATGTCAGTTCATGTAGGCAAGATGTGCAGTAAAGCATTCAGAGGACTTATAAAATACGACAAATTAGAAAATTTTTATCTACTAATACAACGAAAACTTTGATACATGCTTTCGTGACATCACACGTGGACTATTGTAATGCTCTGTTGGCTGGCATACCTCAGTATCAAGTCCAGCGAATGCAGAGAGTTCTTAATGCCGCTGCTAGACTAATCTGCCACTGTCCAAGATTTTCTCACATCACTCCAGTTTTGAGATCACTTCACTGGCTACCTGTAAAATTCCGGGTGGAATTCAAAATTGCTTTACTGGTTTACAAGGCTCTTAATAACATTGCCCCTATATCTATATCTCTGAAATGCTTATACCAAAACAATCAAGTGATCGCTGGACATTACGATCGGATGGTCAAGGTCTATTATACATCCCGAAAACAAACTGTAAGACTCTAGGAGATCGGGCTTTCGCACATGCTGCTCCACAATTATGGAATTCTCTGCCTCTGGATGTCAGGAACTGTGAAAACATTTCTGTGTTTAAGAAACGCTTGAAAACATTTCTTTTCAATAAGGCTTATAACTCTTTATAGGTTGAGACCATATTGGATTCTTCATTCTTATTATAGATACATACATTAGTGTATATTCTAATTGTATACAATACCATGTTTTATATAACATATTTAATTCTTAATATATTTAGATTTTTATAATGTACAGCGCTTCGAGTATATAATATAACATATGCGCTTTTTTAAATGAATAAATTATTATTATTATAGGTCCCTTGTAAACAAAATTGAAGATCTCGAAATTGTAATTAAAAACAATAACGCTGATATGGTCTGTATCACAGAAACTTGGCTGAGTGCTAATATCGCAGCTTCAGTTGTTGACATCAGTGGTTACACAATAGTCCGTAAAGATCGTGTTATGCATAAACGAGGTGGTGATGTTTGAGCCTTCATTAAATCTTCGATCGGTTTACAATTATTGTGGAATTGGGCAACCCTCTATTTGAATGTCTTTGGTTATATCTTCGCCCACTCAGACTCCCACGTGGTTTTCGTGCATAATTATTTTTATTATTTACCACCCTCCACTCGACGACGAGGGTGGTCTCGCTGAGTATTTAATCTCTTCAATGGATAGTGTTCTTGATAAAAGCCCAAATGCTGGAATATTCTTGGTTGGTGATTTTAATCGTTTCAATTTCCGAATATTGAGTAATAATTTTAATCTTCGACAATTGGTAAAAGCTCCAACAAGGGGAAGTGCAACATTAGATTTGATCTTAACAAACTTGTTTGAACATTATAGCAAACCTGACATTTTGGCTGGTATTGGACTAAGCGACCACAAATCGATATTTATTCGACCGTTAATGCATGTTAAGAAGAGAAAAGCGAAAGTTGTGTATAGAAGGTCTGTAAAACCACATATGACGGACGGATTTGGAAGGTGGTTAATTTAACGTCAACTGATTTCACATTTCTTGAAGCCCTCCCCGCGTGTCCTGACAAGCTCAACGCATTCCAATCGTTCCTGAATTATGCAATAGAACTCTTTTTCCGTTACGGAAAAGTAAACAACATCCCAACGATAAGCCCTGGATTACCTCAGAGCTAAGATCCTTAATCCAGCAAAGGCAGCAAGCTACTGTATGGATAAAGATCCAGAAACATTCAGGAAGCTAAGAAATGAAATTAATAGACTGAATAATCGTCTTCGAAGTTCCTTTTTTGAAAGAAAAGTTAAGAATTGTGATGACGCAGGTTCGTGGTGGAAATCCATTAAACAGCTCTCTGGCATTTCTTCAAAAAAATCCTTACTTAGTGTGATCGAAGCAGATACAGAAATTAACTCCATAAAATTAGCTACCAGAATTAATAATAAGTTCTTGACCACTAATAATAGCCTACCACCACTGCCACCCGTAGTGAATAGTGAATAGGATTATGAGACTGCTGAAGAAATTGCTCTGAAATATTGGATTTCTCCTGAAGATGAGTACAAACAGTTGTCTAACTTGAAACGTGGAAAGGCTTCGGAGCCAGATAATTCACCGACTTGGATTTTAAAAGACTTTGCAATGGAACTTTCGTCACCTGTGGCCCTAATCTTTAATGCTTCGATCCAAGAAAGAACAGTTTCAAATGCCTGGAAAGTAGCTGATATTATATCAATTCCTAAAATAAACCCAGTAAAGGATATTGAAAAGGACTTAGGGCCCATATCATTAACAGCAGTCCTTTCAAAAACAATGGAGCGCTTTGTTGCAAAATGGATCATGTCACAAATTAGACAATTGACGACCTGAATCAGTTCGGATCACGAGCTGGACTAGCTGTCAACAACGCATGCTCTCCTGTCTTTAGTTCACCATTTATACAAGGTTACTGATCAACGCGACCAATGTGTTCGTGTTTTACTCTTGGACTTCAGTAAAGCATTCGACAGAATAAATCATAACATTCTGCTAACAAAGATGAAGGATATGGCCATCGACCCTACCTTGATAGAGTGGGTAAGAAGTTTCCTGACTAATAGAAGGCAACGAGTGAGGGTTGGAAATTCTCCCTCCAACTATCAACAAGTAAATGGTGGCGTCCCACAGGGAACCTTTCTGGGCCCTATCTTGTTCATGATAATGATCAACGACCTGTTAAGAGAGTGGGAAAGCCGGTGGAAATATGTAGATGACACCACTCTTTCGGAGACGGTTGCTGTAAAGGATCAATCAGTCCTGCAAATTAAGACGCGCGAAAGCGGACAAAATTACTTTTCCGCAAGAGTTGCAAAACCTGTTCAAATTTCCTCCGGGTAAAATTTAAAGTTTTCAAACCTTCCTCAAAATAAATTGAATAAATACTAAAATATGGCTTCATCAAATAGCAATATATTAGAGTATATAAACTTAACCGATTCTGAAAGCATAAAGTTTGAAAGATACGTGTCGTTAAATGCAGTACATGATTCTAATATATAACTTGCAGTAATACATTTATACTTTGGACAAATTGGATAGTCCTTACCTACTATATCTACATCCTATACATATGATGCATGATTTGGTCACAACCTTCCTGTCGATATCAACTGAAGTTGTTGATTTTATGCCTGTACACATCGTAGTTACTAAAACATGGAACGACCCCACAACGACCCTAAAATGACCCACGACGACCCAAAACCAGCCACAATGACTCACAACGATCCACAAGTTCACAACAACCCAACAACAACAACATTCTGTGCCCCAATCATTGGCCACCATCAGTACTTCCACAGCTATTCCCGTTATAGAGAAAATCAGAGCGTAGGGAAGCGTAGCTACGGAAATCCATAGGGAAAATCTCTACATGCGCAAGTGGAAGTCTTGCATTTTCCCGCCAATTTTGATCACATGTGTTGATTATTAAACATGTCGGACGAAAAAGGTGTGTATGGTGTGTACAACTGCAAATAGTTATCAATATTTTTCGGCCATATATTTTAGTCGTTAAAAACAGATCTTTAATTTCTTTTGCACTATGTGAGAAATTCTGTAGTCATTACGAACATCGTCTGTCTTCGTGTTGTTCTGCCGTCTGCGCAAGCTTCATTTAATTTTTGAATTTATTTTTGCTGGCTGAAACTGAAAAGTGTTCATATTGTTTTCATATTATACTGAAAGTAAATATATTTATTATATAAACATAAGTGTTATATAGAGTTTTTGGCCACTGAGAAAAATCGTATTTAAACAAACGTAAAAAATACGATATTTTTATTTGTTGTAAAACGCATTGCCACGGACGTTTTATTGTTTTTCACTAAATTTTGTTTATATAATAAACAGAAAAATACATGGGTGCTTGGAAATACCAGATTTATTTCTCTTGTTGAACATGATATCTCACTCGTTCGCTGCGCTCACTCGTGAGATATCATGTTCAACACTCGAAATAAATCTGGTATTTCCGCGCACCCATGTATTATTCTCTATTAATTAGTACAGTGGTGTATGTCCCGAATGTTATAAACAAAGGTATTCCTCTATTTGTGTGTGTCGATGCTCTCACATTTAACTATTGCTAGCTCATTTATTCTCCGCGTTTTAAATCCCACCGGTTCGCGTGAAGATCGAGATTAGGATCGAGATTAGGATCGAAAGCTTTGCAATAATAAAATACGTGGTGTATCCACAAACAATAACTTATATTATTTATTGTCATGCAAAATTGCAACTTAAGGTAATTTTGGGGTCGTTGTGGGGTCGTGGCAGGTCGTTGTGGCTCGTTCCATGTTTTAGTAACTACGCTGTACACATATATAAACTATCGCAACAGCATTCCAGAGGTGGTCTGGCGGTATTTGATCTTGAAGTTTCGGTACTTGTGGTTTTGAAAGGCATTTGAGAGTGTTTAGGTATTTAGATGTGTGACCCATCGCCCAATTACACATTCAGCGAGGCAGCGAATGCTCTCACTTGTTCCCGAAGCAAAGTGCTAAATTTAAACCATGCAGTATAGTGCCCTGCATGGCGGTTTATAATCAATGGCAATGTTTGGAATAGTTGAAAATCAATGGCAATGGCAATATATTAATCTCTATAACAGACGCTGCCAATCCTGCAATATACTTATGGTTATCTTTTAGATTGTGGGAATTGACGGTTTAGGTATCAGATATGTAAACAATGATTTCGATTATAGGACCTCGATACATTTTGTCGATCTGTATTAAATATGTATGACAGCTACACACCTCAGTAACCAAGCTGTATTATTTTCGTCAGACTCACATCACACATGCTAAAATTTCTTCCTCAGCTTTATTTATAATTTTTGTGGCAGTTTACAACAATTTACCTTGGCCATATTTATATAATTATTACAATGTTTATCTGCTACAGCAATGATGGTTCATTTAATTTATAACTATTAATTATTCTCTAAAAACTTTGGAATCATGTAATCAAATAATCTTTGAATAATATAATGTTCAAGGTGAATTTCTTATTGTAACCATGACGAATAGCTCTTAGTAATAGCTTCCTGTTATTTGCGGTGCAATGGGTTAAGGCGCCTCTGATATTTGACACTTATTCCTTTTTATTTTTACAGAATATTTTCAGTTATTGTGTTCTCAGTATTCTCCAATGTCATAGTCAATACATATGTTATAGGTACTATATCACAATAATACCACCACAATAGTACCGCCACAACTTGTCAGCCTCAACTGCCTATTCAACTATGATTTACTTGTTTCACTTTTTTGGTGTTAGCGACTGTTGACCACTAAACCTTCCTCACTGACCTCGCCTATGGTAAACCTTCCTCACGGGCAATGCCCGCATGCACGCAGCTTTTTTGCAACTCTGCTTTTCCGAAATATATATGACGTCAATATCGAATATAAAACATCAATACAAATATAGTAGGAATTGCCGTATATATATATATATATATGTGCTAATTCTTAATTATAAAACATATTCTCAATATATATATATATATATATATATATATATATATATATATATATATATATATATATATATATATATATATATATATATATATATATATATATATATATATCATCTTTCGTAAATATAAACAATGTTGCCGATTATTTAATGTCTTCTCTCATATATATAAACAGCACTGGAATACAAAAATCACATCACATATATGAACAATGTTCCCATATATAAATTAGGCTTGCATGCCAAATATATAAAGGGTGGTTACACAGCGTTCGCTTTAACCGAATTACATGAAGTACTGGCGCCTTTTCACTCGAAGTTGAGTTTGAGTGGTCATGGCCAACAAGCGCATGCAAATTTTGGCCAATTTAATAAAAGCAGTTACCAATGTTGCTGATCGTGGCACATCACAGGAATCGAATATCGAGGGATCGGACGGAAGTAGCTCAGTTAGTGAAGAGGAAACAATAAAGCGGTTGTTTCCATCAACAGAGGGTGGTCAAGGTGCAAACGCCACAAAAAATGCAGTGCTAGGAGAGCGCGCCGTGGAACAAGAAAGGAATGAAAATCCTGATAGACATACCGTAGCAAGTATTGTGCGATTTAATCCACACACAGTGTATAGACCGAAAGGTGGCAAACGGGCAAAATCATCATCGTCAAAAGCACCTAAAAAAACAGCTAGGCCGTATTCTGTGGCACGGAAAGTCGCTTAGAAAACGAATTTCGTTGCCCGGGTTCGGGCACTACTTTGAAACAAGATAAATAATTAGGATAAATTATACAAAGTCCAAATTCGCTTGTTTGCACTTCCCAAAACCTGCAGTTTTCGAGTATTTCTTGTTCGAAAATTCAAGAAATCGACGTCTTTCGCAATCGATCGCCGCCATTTTTGTTCAGGATACTTGGCGTAATAAACATTATAAATGGAAATTTTCGCTGGCTCACACTTATTCTTAATTACCATGAGTTTCCAGCTTAGCATTTGTAAACATGGCGTCTTCTGATTCATGTTTAATTCATTTTGATGGGAAAAAGGCCCACTTGCAAGTTTTAGTGTGGTTTCGTATAAAAAAAAATTTAGATTGTACGTCGTAGAATTTGGCTAACGCTAGAGGAGGAAGAACGCAATGTTGCTCAAAGATGTTTGCAATTTGTTAGCGACAGCATGGAAGTAGCACGGTCGAAAATATCGATGCAAATTTCTCTTATCATCGAGGTTGTTACTCGGCATTCACAAATAGCAGTATGATGGACAAAGAAGGTGTACGTACCTTCATCCTCTCATTCCTTGTGTGACCCATTAGGTCAGGGGAAGAGCAGTAGACTCGTAAACTGAAGATCGTCAGTTCGAATATCTCATGAGGCTCTATTAATTTCTTTGTTTTCATTAGTGAATTAAAATTTGAAAAATTGTTAGGAGTAAGCTAGCTCTTGCTAGTGTCCCAAAACGAATATAAGAAAGTCTGGTTGCGTTGAGAAGAACGTAGAATAGAAGAACGTAGAACGTAGAAAGCATTCTAAATAGAGCAGTGATGATTTTGTTGCTATAAGGGAATTGTTTATTATTAGTTCTACAATAACGTTGAATTGGCTACCCATTTAATCAGAATTTGTTCTGAATAAAAGTCAACATAGATCCGGGATGGAGAAGAGTAGAAGAGATTTATTGGAAGAGATTTATTGCAAATTATATGGGGAGAAGTACAGAAATAATGGACTTAATTAACCAAATTAAATTTCTTGCTAGTGCTTTGGCACAGTTAAGTAAGATTGCAACCAATCACGCGTTAATATATCTTTCAAAATAAAAGTATGCAGTAGTCTCGTGAACTGGAGATCGTTGTTAGTTCGAATCTCTCGTGAGTGAATTAAAATTTGAAAATTTGTTGGCAGTTAGCTATACTGCACTGAGGCTGAACGGGTGCAAAGCGTTGGAAAACTTAAATTACGAAATCTTTTATCATGTTTGCTTTAAAAATAAGGACTATAGCCTCATCAGAGATTTGAATTCTGGATCGCTGGTTTACTAGACCAGTGCTCTAACCTCTGAGTTAATGATGCACATTCGTACAATCAGCCCCTTCCTAAAATGTTATAAAACTTGGAATTTTTTATACATGTAATTCTGTTCGAACACGTTTAGAGGTGGGTTCGCAATGTTCAAACTAGTTAAACCAAATTTTACAATCTGTTGCAACACATCAAAATTCCAGAATTCTCATTCCTTGAATTCAAAAACATCCAGCTTGAAATATTCAACGATTATCTTTTCACAGACAATAAATTTGTCACCGGAACGATACAGATTTGAGTTTGTTCTTAAAAGATTTGAACTCCAGACGGCTGGTATACAAGACCAGTGCTCCAACCACTGAGCTAATGAGGCATCTGCCCACCATTGACGTTCTTAGGGTTTGTATTTTGTCAGCCAAGTTATCTTGAGAGTTATTATGAAAAAAGGGAAAACAACTATAAGCCAATATGAAAAATAATCGTTGGAAAACACGAAATGGCTTTGAGGTTCATTAGCTTATATCTGTATAGTAATTGCCTTACCAGTACATTACAGTATAATCCATAGATCTTCTGTTATTATTTAATTTTTCACTAATTCATTTCCAGCCTTTCCAGCGCAGAACTTGATTTTTATGTTTCGAATAAACCAGCTGAAATTTAAATTTGAACAACACGTTTTAGATTTCTTTTAAACTTGAAGTAATCCAAACGGAAAATAATCGCTTAAATTCGTTGGTATTTTTGGGTTTTCTACCAGTTTTCTACATAGAACAGTGATGATTTTATGGCTAAGAGAATAGTTGATTATAATAGTTCTACGTTGAATTGGCTACCCATGTAATCAGAATTTGTTGAATAAATGTCAACATTGATCCGGGCTGGAGAAGAGTAGAAGAGATTTATTGGACGAAATGTATTGCAAATTATATGAGGGGTAGAACAGAAATAATGGACTTACAGCAAATTGAATTTCTTGCACGTGCTTTGGCACAGTTCATTAATACTGCAACCAATCATGCGTTAATATACCTTTCACAGTAAAAGTATGATTGCAGAAAGTTGTGCCTTATTAGCTCAGGGGTAGAGCAGCAGTCTCGTACACTAAAGGTCGTGAGTTCGAATTTCTCATGAGTTTTCTTTCTTTTCATTGTGAATCAAAATTAGAAAAACTGTTGGGAGTTGGCTATACTGCACTGAAGCTGAAGAGGTGGAAAATGGTGGAAAACTTAAATTCCGAAATCATTTATCATGTTTTCTTCAAAAATACGCATCTTATAGCCTCATCAGAGATTTGAAATCTGGACAACTGGTTTACTAGACCAGTGCTCTAAAGCTTGAGCTAATGAGGCATATTCGTTCAGTAAACCTTTTCCTAAAATGTTACGAAAACTTGGAATTTCTGATGTATATATTTGTGATTTTAGTACAAACCTCTTTAGAGGCGGGTTCGTAATGGAGGGTGGATAATGATTTCTTATATTCAAATTAGTTAAACCAAATTTTACAATCCGTTACAAGATTCCAGATTTCTGATTCCTTGATTTAAAAAACATCCAGCTTTAAATATTCAATGACTATCATTTCACGAACAATAAATCTGTCACCGGCACCAAACCGTATTGATTTTGTTCTCAAAAACTACGCACAATTAAGAGCCCCATTAGAAAATTGAACTCCGGACCACTGGTTTACAAGACCAGTGCTCTAACCACTGAGCTAATGAGGCATCTGCCCTCCATTGACGTTCTTAGGGTTTGTATTTTGTCAGCCAAATTATCTTGACTACGAAGAAGGTTATTGTGAAAAAAGGGAAAACAACTATATGCAAATATGAAAAATGATCGTTGGAAAACACAAAATATCTTTGAGATTCAATCACTTTAGCTCGTATCCGTATAGTAATTGGCTTACCAGTAGATTACTGTTTACTCCATAGATCCTGGGTTATTATTTTCGTGCATCGTGGTTCGATCCCACTTTTATGTTTCGAAGAAACCAGCTGAAATTTACAAATTCTTGCCAAAATGCGAGCAAAATTGAAATATATTTGCAAGAAATTTTTCAATCATCAAATCAAGAAATGTTTGCTATTTCGCTGTCGTCATGCAGTCGTTATAATGGAAACTTTAAATTGGACCAATCAGTGTCCGCTCTTCATGACAGTCCGCCATATTTTTGAGATCAGTGAGGATGACCACCCACCGAAACATCGTTGGTGAGCCACGCCCGCGATATTTGATGAACTTTAGACTTCGCTAATGCTTCTGTTTCCCCGTGTGTAAATAGACGGGGGGAATTAGTACCCTCGCACGGCGCTTCGCGCCGCCGGCTCGGGGATAACATCACAAACATCATATTCATCTGAGTACACAATACAAAAAAATTTATATTTATGTTTCGAATAAACCAGCTGAAATTTAAACTTCAACAACACGTTTTAGGCTTCTTTTAAACTTGAGGTACTCCACGCGGAAATTAATCGCTTAAAGTCGTTGGTATTTTTGGTGAATTTTCTACGTTTTCTACATAGACCATGCAGTAATGATTTTGTGCTAAGGGAATTGTTGATTAATTCTTCTCCGTTGAATTGAGTACCCATGTAATCAGAATTTGTTGAATAAAATTAAAAATACAACATTGAACAGTTATGGAGAAGACTAGAAGAGATTTATAGGATGCAATTTATTGAAAATTATTTTGGGGGGAGTACAGAAATAATGGACTTACATCAAATTAAATTTCTTGCACGTTCTTTGGCACAGTTAATTAATACTGCAACAAATCATGCGTTAATATATCTTTCACAGTGAAAGTAAGATTGCAGAAAGTTGTGCCTCATTAGCTCAGGGGTAGAACAGTAGTTCGTAAACTAAAGGTCGTCGTGAGTTCGAATCTCTCATGAGGCTGTTTCATTTTCTTTCTTATCATTAGTGAAGTAAAGTTAGAAAAACTGTTGGGAGGCATCTGCCCCCCGCAGATTTTCTCAGCGTTTGTATTTTGTTAGCCAATTTATCTTGAACTACGAAAAGGGTTATTGTGAAAAAAGGGAAAACAACAATAATTAAACCAATAGGTGAAGCACATATGATCGTTGGAAAATACGAAATGGCTTTGAGGTTCATTAGCTCATTATTATCTGTATAGTAATTGGCTTACCAGTATACATTACATGTACTCTATATTCCATAAATATCTTCGATTATTATTTTGAGGCATTATCGTTCCTCACTTCATTTTGAAACCAGCTGAAATTTAAACTTCAACAACACGTTTTAGGTTTCTTTTAAACTTGAAGTATTCCAAGCGAAAAATAATCGTTTAAGTTCGTTGGTATTTTTAGTGGATTTTCTACGTACATTTCTGCGGTTGTCTCGTACATTGAGTTAGCTATACTGCACTCAGGCTGAAGAGATAGATGACGTTGGAAATAGATAACGTCCAAAACCTTTATTATGTTTTCTTTAAAAAGACGAATGGTATAGCCTCATCAGAGATTTGAACTCTGGACCCCTGGTTTACTAGACCAGTGCTCTAACCCCTGAGCTAATGAGGCATGTTCGTACAGTAAACCTTTTCCTAAAATGTTATGAAAACTTGGAGTAGAAATAATAGACATACAATGCGTGCTCCTATCTTTTCTCAGTAAAAAATTGTCTCCACACAATGGCGCATTGAGAAGGGCATTTTGGTTGGTCCCAGACTCCTGAGGCAAGGAATTTCGCGGGGTTGCAGAGAGTGGGAATTGGTTTTTCAACTGAAAACTTTGCAAAAAAATTTATATCGCGGGACTTAAAATGGAAAAAAAGTTTGGTAAACTAAGAATAAGTGTCTAAAAACCCATTCCAGTGGTTTTTTTTACGAAAAGCAATAGTTCTGAACAGAATATATTCAGAAATCGTCGTTTAAAAATAAGTTTTCAACGTTATGTTGTTGCGCAAGCCAAAACAAAACAGGAAATATCAAGACAAGCTCAATAGGTATGTTCTACATATATTTCAACAATTTATTAATATAAATGGAGTTCAGTAGTCTTTTTAAAATCACAAAATTATATTTCTTATTTTTCTACGTTGCTTGAGCTTGAGGCAACGCTTTTGAAACCATAGTTTTCGGCGATTATTTTTTGGCAATTTACAGTTTTTTCGACAACTAAATATTTTTGTTTCAAGAACATGAAAACACTTCGTTTACATTGAAGAAAAACGAAACCCGACGAGAAAGAACTATATCATTTTGTAATATTATAAGATACTAGCAAAACAGTTACGTTCAGCGCATGACAAAAATGTTATATGAGTAAATTATATTTTCGCGAATCTACTTTGTTTTTGCAAGGCAGCACGATTTTCACCGTTTTATAACTGCACATTTGCTTTGACAGTTTGTGCCTTCAAGGAACTCAAAATCTATCCCCAAACTACAAATTAGACAACAAGACAAAACGTTTGAAGATGAAAACGAAGGTTTAGCTTTTTTTATACTCTGTACTTTGCACTCCTGGCCAAAATTCAAATGGCGCAGTCAAAATTGCAGGCATGGTGAAAAAGTGGAGACATGATTCGTCATGAACACGAATTCTATGTCTATTATTTCTATGATTACTTTATACTCCATACAACTTTCGTGATTATTTTTGTGCATCATGGTTCCCACTTTATTTTCAGCCTTTCCAGCGTTGAAATTTATATTTATGTTTCGAAGACACCAGCTAAAATTTAAACTTCAATAACACGTTTTAGATTAAATTTAAACTTGAAGTACTACAGGTGGAAAATAACCGCTTTAATTAGTTGGAATATTTGGATTCTCTACGTTTTCTAGATATAGAAGTAATGATTTTGTATCTAGGAAATTGTTGATAGATAGCTCTACCTTGAATTGGCTACCCATGTAATCAGAATTTGTTAAATAAAAGTCAACATTGATCCCGAGGCTGGAGAAGAGTAGACGAGATTTATAGGAGGAAATTTATTGCAAATAATATGAGGGGAAGTAAAGAAATAATGGACTTACAGAAAATTAAATTTCTGCCGGTGCTTTGACACAGTTAACTAAGACTGGAACCCATCATGCGTTAATATATCTTTCACAGTAAAAGTTTGATTGCAGAAAGTTGTGCCTCATTAGCTCAGGGGTAGAGCAGTAGTCTCGTAAACTGAAGGTCGTGAGTTCGAATCTCTCATGAGGCTGTTTCACTTTCTTTCTAGAAAAACTGTTGGGAGGCGTCTGCCCCCCGCTGATTTTCTTAGCGTTTGCATTTGGTTAGCCAAATTATCTTGAACTACGAAAAGGGTTATTGTGAAAAAAGGGAAAACAACTATAGTTAAAGCAATAGGTGAAGCACGTATGATCGTTGGAAAATACGAAATGGCTTTGTGGTTCATTAGCTCATATCTGTATAGTAAATGGCTTACCAGTATACATTTCATGTACTCTATGCTCCATAAATATCTTCGGTTATTATTTTGAGGCATTATGGTTCTCACTTCATTCTGAAACCAGCTGAAATTTAAACTTCAACAACACGTTTTACTTTTCTTTTAAACATGAAGTATTCCAAGCGAAAAATAATCGTTTAAGTTCGTTGGTATTTTTAGTGGATTTTCTACGTACATTTCTGCGGTTGTCTCGTACATTGAGTTAGCTATACTGCACTCAGGCTGAAGAAATAGATGACGTTGGAAATAGATAACGTCCAAAACCTTTATTATGTTTTCTTTAAAAAGACGAATGGTATAGCCTCATCAGAGATTTGAACTCTCGACCCCTGGTTTACTAGACCAGTGCTCTAACCCCTGAGCTAATGAGGCATATTCGTACAGTAAATCTTTTCCTAAAATGTTATGAAAACTTGGAGTAGAAATAGTAGACATAGAATGCGTGCTCCTATTCTTTCTCAGTTAAAAATTGTCTCCACAAAATGGCGCATTGAGAAGGGCATTTTGGTTGGTCCCAGACTCCTGAGGCAAGGAATTTCGCGGGATTGCAGAGATTGGGAATTGGTTTTTCAACTGAAAAGTTTGCAAAAAAATTTATATCTCGGGACTTAAAATGGAAAAAAAGTTTAGTAAACTAAGAATAAGTGTTTAAAAACCCATTCCAGTGGGTTTTTTACGAAAAGCAATAGTTCTGAACAGAATATATGCAGAAATCGTCGTTAAAAAATAAGTTTTCAACGTTATGTTGTTGCGCAAGACAAAACAAAACAGGAAAGATCAAGACAAGCTCAATAGGTATGTTCTACAAATATTTCAACAATTTTTTAATATAAATGGAGTTCAATAATCTTTTTAAACTCACACAATTATATTTCATATTTTTCTATGTTGCTTGAGGTTGAGGCAAGGCTTTTGAAACCATAGTTTTCGGCGATTATTTTTAGGCAATTTATAGTTTTTCCGCCAACTAAATATTTTTGTTTCAAGAACATGAAAACACTTCGTTTACATTGAAGAAATACGAAACCCGACGAGAATGAACTATAATCATTTTGTAATATTATAAGATACTAGCAAAACAGTTACGTTCAGCGCATGATAAAAATGTTATATGAGTAAATTATATTTTCGCGAATCTACATTGTTTTTGCAAGGCAGCACGCGCGATTTTCACCGTTTTATAACTGCACATTTGCTTTGACAGTTTGTGCCTTCAAGGAACTCAAAATCTATCCCAAACTACAAATTAAACAACAAGACAAAACGTTTGAAGATGAAAACGAAGGTTTAGCTTTTTTTTAACTCTGTACTTTGCACTCCTGGCCAAATTTCAAAATGGCGCAGTCAAAATGGCAGGCATGGTGAAAAAGTGGAGACAGGATTCGTCATGAACAAGCATTCTATGTCTATTATTTCTATGATTACTCTATACTCCATACAACTTTCGTGATTATTTTTGTGCATCATGGTTCGCACTTTATTTTCAGCCTTTCTAGCGTTGAATTTTATATTTATGTTTCGAAGACACCAGCTAAAATTTAAACTTCAATAACACGTTTTAGATTTATTTTAAACTTGAAGTACTACAGGTGGAAAATAACCGCTTTAATTAGTTGGAATATTTGGATTTTCCACGTTTTCTAGATATAGAAGTAATGATTGTGTGTCGAGGGAATTGTTGATACATAGCTCTACGTTGAATTCGCTACCCATGTAATCAGAATTTGTTAAATAAAAGTCAACATTGATCCGGGATGGGGAAGAGTAGAAAATATTTATAGGAGGAAATTTATTGCAAATAATATGAGGGGAAGTACAGAAATAATGGACTTACAGAAAATTAAATTTCTTGCGGGTGCTTTGACACAGTTAACTAAGACTGTAACCCATCATGCGTTAATATATCTTTCACAGTAAAAGTTTGATTGCAGAAAGTTGTGCCTCATTAGCTCGATCAGGGGTAGAGCAGTAGTCTCGTAAACTGAAGGTCGTGAGTTCGAATCTCTCATGAGGCTGTTTCATTTTCTTTCTTTTCATTAGTGAATTAAAATTAGAAAAACTGTTGGGAGGCATCTGCCCCCCGCAGATTTTCTCAGCGTTTGTATTTTGTTAGCCAAATAATCTTGAACTACGAAAAGGGTTATTGTGAAAAAAGGGAAAACAACTATAGTTAAAGCAGTAGGTGAAGCACGTATGATCGTTGGAAAATATGAAATGGCTTTGAGGTTCATTAGCTCATATCTGTATAGTATTTGGCTTACCAGGATACATTACATGTACTCTATGCTCCATAAACATCTTCGGTTATTATTTTGAGGCATTATGGTTCTCACTTCATTTTGAAACCAGCTGAAATTTAAACTTCAACAACACGTTTTAGGTTTCTTTTAAACATGAAGTATTCCAAGCGGAAAATAATCGTTTAAGTTCGTTGGTATTTTTAGTTGATTTTCTACGTTTTCTACATA